GATGTAATGGGCCACATTACACATATAGCTAAACACAAATAAACAATTACATATGTAGACAGGCGCTGGGCCCGAATAGCGAGCATAGCGTGGTAATTTATTATTGGTTTATTATTGGGCCTAAAGTCCCCAATATGGACCAATGATAAATCAACCTGAAATTGTGTGGTTCCCGAAAGGCGGGAACACTGTCGTATATATTACGACTAAAATCTTCGTAATTAGTACGAATTAAAACCAAAATAAAAAGCAGAGTTAAATTTACTTAATACCTAATACTTGGGCTTGAGTCTTCCTCAAGCGCGCGTGTAAGCTAGTGACGGTACGTTCTATCCCCGTTACACCCTCCCTATGTCCTCGTAGAGGACACCTTGGGTCATGATGCCTATCATGATCCAGAGCACCATCAGCCGACGGTGAAAACCGAGAGGCTAAGGTCCCCGAAACCACAGCAACAAAAAAACAAGATCGCGCAGTCCAAGCCGACAAAGTTCCGGATGAAGGCGCCAGGAAACACTAAGTCAACAGGCCCCGAGAAGTCAGGACTGGTATCATGGTCGAAGAAGTCACAAAGGCCTATCACCAACGCAAGCTGAACGCATTCCTGGAGAGCGACCCCGTCGTGAAGAACCTCGAGATCCGGCTGCTTGGACAGCTTACTGGACCGGTGTCGACCCTACCCCGACTGCAGACCGTCATAGACACGATCTGCGCTGGTCACCCTTCTTCGAGAAGCGAACATGGTCGCAGGAAGGTTCGATCCGGACGCGTGGCGAAAAGAAAAATCATTCCGATTTTCAGCCAATGGAAATCAGCAATGACAAAAATTGGAATTTGCTCTTTCACGTGGCAAAGATGCTGGTAGCTTAAAGCAAGTTCGTTTTGGGTGACGGAAGTCGTGCCACGTAGATCGCAAATTGAGTAGTATTTAATATAGTAACTCCTTCTAACTCCTTTACTCTATCCCTGCCTGAAGCTCTGGTTACTTGCATCGACTAGTCTAATCCTTGTGTTAATTGGTCATGAGCGGCTGAACGACGAGGGACCCAGGCCGAACAATGAGGGATCGAGTCTACCGACGAGGGGCTGAGTTCGACCGACGAGGGGTCCAGGTCTACTGATGAGGGAACGGGTAGACCAATGAGGGATGATGAGGGATCGAGGTCTACCAATACTGGACCGAGCCTTCAAAAGGTAACTGTGGCCAAATCCTTTCGGTACCGGTTAATCGGTACCTTGGTAATGATTTCTCTTTTGTGAGTCCCGCAACATGATCTCCGCCAACGGTCACTTCCCCTCGAGGTCCCCTGTCTCTCTGGTCTCCTCTCCCTGATACACGGTCACTTATACCTCGTCTCCAACTGGCATCTGGGGTCCCCATATATCAACAAGCACTTCACCAAAAGAGATCAGAGCGACTCATATAGTGTGCCCCAGTACCCTCTTGATCGCGTAAAGATTTCCATGCGATTAACTCAACCAATTTCCAACACGGTCAAGATCAGCATCGACTCGAGTCCCCCGAGACGAGTGCTATACGCCCTGCCGACGGGTATACAAGGTGAGGAAGGAAAGTTGCACGGAATTGGAGTACCCTCTCCTATAGTCGGTGTTGGGCGCTAGGATCAGAAATTTTGTGAACCCCACTCTACCACACAAAGCCGATCATGAATTTGACCAATTAGCCTTGCCTCGTAACGCATAAATGCCTGAAGACGTGCATTAAGCACTCCGGCCTTAGGTCATTATAAGATCAATTTGGTCAGCCCCAATTAGCGCTGATGTTTTAGTTAGCGCAAGGCGTTGCCATAGTTTAGTCAGCACGAGGCGTTGCCATAGTTTAGTCAGCACGAGGCGTTGCGCCTTGGCGAGTTGATTACTACTCTCCATTCCCACAGAGGGTCAGTTATTGATACAACTCAGGAGTGGGAGGACTAAAAGTGCTACCAAGTGTAGCAGATTCACATAGCTCTCGAATACTTTAGAGGATAAAAAGCCTCTTAATTCTAAGGAACTAAATAAAGTTACGGCTTAAGCCACTTAGTTCTATGGAACTAATTAAACGACTTTGAAGCCTACCCGTTCTATAGAGCTTGCAGAGACTTCTTTATCTACGAGCTTACGCTCACAAGCTTACGATTCGAAGTGCCAAACGCACAAGGTTGCAGTAGAAAACAAGTCTTAAAAAGACTTAGCGTCTATAACTCAAAATGAAAACTGATTTATTTATTGCATCAAGATATCAAATTTAGCCTACCTTAAGTACCATACACTAGATTAATTACTTTAATAGTAGCAATATTACATGTATGCAGGCTTCTTTATTGCACGACATGTGGTCTAAACATCTGTGTATGATGTACTTAGCACAGCGATATCGATCATGGAATCCTAACCGATATGATACGGTATTACCGCATACCGTACCTCAACGCCTACACTTGATACCTCCTTAGCGGAGATAGAAGAAATACAGTGTACATAATTACGTATGGCTCACCTCTGTGACGTTACGTTGGATGTATATATCCAACGATCGTGTAACCCCGTTTCAAAACAACTAAGAGATAAAAACCTGTCGTTTTATCCAGCCTTTATTTTAGTCGTGATCCAAAAGTCGCTCGAAGGTTGCGTCACGGAAAAACCGAGCAATGAATGAAGGGCTATTTTTTAAAACAATAATATCGGTACACGTCAGTATAGAGCCCAATCCTAATTTTTGCTGTCAAAAAATGGGTCGAGGGAAAAAATGGCGGCGCGACGAGGACGTTAGTTTGGCTACGGCGTACGCTACTGTAGCGTCCTCAGGGGTGAAAGATGGACCCTTTTTCTGGGACGAAGTGCGCAGTCGAGTCCAGAGCGTGAGGAGTGTGCGTGCGCTACGGAATCGATGGATTCTCATGGCACACGAGGTGAAGGTGTTTGTGCAATATTTGGATCGCATCGAAGCTCAAGGAGATAGTGGAGAAGTAGCGGCAATAGAGAGAGCAATGAGTAACTTTCGAGAGACAAAAGGACGAGACTTTGAGTTTATAAACTGCTGGGACATTGTACGGAAATGCCACGAGACGAGAAGAGGAGAAGGAGGAGAGGTGGAGGAGACGGAAGAGGAAGTAGGAGACGAGGCTGGTGCCTTAAATGCAAAAAATGTAGCAGCAGATACAGCTGAAGTTGCAGAATATGAGGTCCAGATTCCAGTTGGTACTGCTGATGCTGCTGCGGTTGCTGCTAAAAAGGAGGAAAGAACAAAGGCAGGGACAAAGACAAAGAGAGCTGCAAGCCCTAGGAAGACGCTGCCAGCGACGGATGACTTGATGTTCGTGCAACAGCAGCTTGTGAATGAGATGCGTCGGAAGAACGACTTGCAGGAGGACGAGCTGGCACTGAAGTTGTTCAGTGAGGGACGGGAATCGAACGAGTCGCAGCAATTCTTTAAGCTGCTGAAGAGGAAGAAGCTGTTGCTGCTGGAAAAAGAAGTAGAAGAACTGGAAGTAGCACAGCAGCATCTGAGACAGCGCAGATGCTAGCAAATCAATGCAGTTACCGTCTAGTGATATACACGTATACACATGACCCACTTGTAATTTACAATTTACACGACGGTATACATTCGATCCGCTCTTTGCAATTACCGGTATATCAGACTAAATCCTATTTTGATCCTAATGGCAAGAAATAATTAGGACGATGCCGCCAAAGGTGTCAGCCTCCATGCGCGTGACGCTCGGTCTCGTACGATGGTCTCCATGTGGTCAGTACTTGGCCGTAGCGAATGAGAACCGTCTGATAATCCGAGATGCACAGTCGCTGCAAATCGTACAGCGCTTTTCGACGGTTGACGTAGTGCAGTCTCTGGCCTGGTCCAAGGACTCTCAACTGGTGCTCACAGCCATTCACAAGCGCGCAGTGGTGCAGATCTGGTCCGTGCAGGACGCGTCCTGGAGTTGCAAGATATCAGAAGGTGTCGCAGGATTGGTCCACGCCAGATGGTCGCCGGACGCACGTCATATCGTTACTGTGTCGGATTTTCTGTTACATGCGACCGTGTGGTCGTTGGAGGACCCAACAACGAGATGTACAATCCGCAGTCCTAAACTAGCAGTAGAAGGACTGAGCTTTAACTCTAATGGAGAGTTTTTGGCAGTTGTAGAGCGTCATGATTGCAAGGTACAGGATATATTTAGGATAAAATAGGATAGGACGGATGACAGAGCTTCATGTTGTTATGCGACTGTTAGTAGGATTTCATTGGCATCTACAGCTGCGAGAGTTGGGAACTGACGGCGCATTTTCCTATTGACAGCTATGACTGTGCTCAAATCGAGTGGTCGACGGACAATGCGTGCGTTCGTGGTGCGTGCTGAGGGTTCGTGGAGAATGTTCACTTATTCTTGCCTTTATTTGCAGGACGATTGCTGTGCGTGATACGCACTTGGAGTTTAGGGTGTTGCTCTATTCGCCCGATGGCACATTGCTGGCAAAGTTCCAGGTGAACAACTAGCATCTTTTTCCAACAAAGTGCTAGCACTCAATAACGACAGTGCTCACTTTTTTACATTGTAGGCGTATGAAAATGCGTTGGGGTTGAAGACAATGGCTTGGTCGGCTTCTGGCCAATTCCTTGCACTCGGGAGCTACGATGAACACTTGCGCGTATTGAGTCATATGAGTTGGAAGCCGGTAGCTGATTTTGACCATGAAAGCATCGCTGTCACGAGCTCCTCTATGAACAAGGCAGCGGTGAGTACATGACTGCATAATGCATCAGTTGCTGATTCATAACTAACGAACAGTCTTTTCATTGCTTCACTGCAATTGTAGATTGAATACGAAGAAAATTTTGCGGATACCAGTGTTATGGACCGACCGCATGGTAAGCGCGTTGCGGTGGTTCAGCACGGGTCTTCACTGCTTTCCAACTCTCTTCAAGCAGCTTCCGCGGCAGCTCAGGCTGCGGGTGGTAAAAAGAGCCGTGAAATTTGTTTCGTGCCAAGGAATCCTCCATTTTCAGTCCGAACGCTTACCTCTGATCCATTGTCAGTATATCTTCTGTAGCCTACGACTGAAAAGACATAGCGATTGACCATTGTTTTGCTCAGCAGGGCAATAAATCCTAAGATTGGTATAAGCCGCGTTGCGTGGAGTGCTAACTCAGCTTTTATCGCTACCAAAAGCGATCAGATGCCGTACAATGTGTGGATATGGCGCACAGAGAGCCTGACGCTTCACTCTACGATCTCACTGCTCGAGTCAGTGCGAAGTGTGCAATGGGACCCGGTACACATTCGTCTCGCTATAACGTCGGGAGAAAACCACGTGCATCTCTGGACTATTGAAGGCATGTCGTGGGTTGATATTCCCATCGGTGAGTTCACTGACATTTACTTACTTGTGCTATAATTGTATGCTTACTTTGCACTTTTGTGCTCACTGCAGAGTCTTTTCAAGCTCGGGGTCTTCAGTGGGCACCATCTGGCAATGCACTCGTTGCTGTTGGTCACCAGGAATTCTGCTCCATCATATTATGATCCCATGCTTGTTAGAATTTACGCTTCCTTCTGAAATGGTGCGGACATTTGGAAAAGACACAAGCATCTATGCTCATTGTGCAGCAGCTTTTGTACGGGCGAAAATGATATCGCTCCGGTACTGAAGGCTGTGTAAATTGATGCCGTCGTTGCACTTGACTCGGCATTTCATATTTTTCGTCGCTCATCACACCCATGAAGTTGAAGATTGTCTGACGTGCTTAGTGGTAAGCTTTACGGTGATGTCATTCTCGTATAAAAGAAAAATGAGTCACGACGGTCGCATCCGTTTGTGTCGTGGATGTATCGTTTACTGTGTCGTCGAAACAATGCGTGCACTTCATTCTCAAGGTCCAAGAAGCAATAGTTCCGTCTACACATGCATCCTTTTGACCGCGACAAGGAGTCTGATCGTATCTTGTATGTCTCAGCAACACGGCTCCTGCCTAAGGAACGACATGCATGAATCTGTATTAAACGACTGGAACCACGGCGTCGTCTACAAGTCAACGAGCGTATACCTGCCTTCCTATAATTAGTACAGTTGAATCCCTCAAGCCAAAAATTGCACGTGGTGCATGCATATACTGAAATACCTGAAATTGATATGTTTAGTGAAATGCTGCAACGATGCGAAGCGAGCCTACCTGGAGCTTCAAGCGTCCTTCGGGCTTGTCTTGGTCACCTCCGTGGTGTCATCAGCCGTCTTGGGTGTGGCATCATCAGCCGTCTTGGGTGTGGCATCATCAGCCGTCTTGGGTGTGGCATCATCAACCGTCTTGGGCGTGGCGTCATCAATCGTCTTGGGCGCCTTCTCGTTTGACTCTTCAGTTGCTGCCATCTTGGCTTGCTGCAGCGCGCCGGTTACGTACTCCATCGAATTATTGACAAAGACGACACCCTTGTTCAAAAGGTCCGTTCCAATGCCGCCCGTCACTTTTTCATCCACCTTCATGGCCGTGGCCGACACGCCCAGCGCGCGGTCCAAATCCGTCACCTTGCCGGCTACGGCACTTACTACCCCCGAGACTGTGTCCACGACACCGTAGTGGCCGTCAAGCTCCTCAGCTTTGCCCACGACGCTACCAGCGACTACGTAGGCACCGTACCCAGCACTAAAGAGCGTCTCCTTGAGCTGCTCAAAGCTCGAGCTGCTACGCTCACGTGTAGCCTCCACAATATACTCGATGGACGTCGACACGGACGAGACGCCGCCCTTGACCGAGTCTACAGAGCTTGTGACACTGGCACGAAACTGGTCGTCGTAGCTGCGGCCACGTTCCTTGAGACCGTCCAATGCCGACTGCACCTTATTGAACGAGGCCTTGGCTACATCCACAACCGGTGCCGACGTGTTCTTGGACTTTTCCTTGAGTGTTTCACCTAATTCCTTCAGCTCATCCACCGACTTGTGCGTGCGTTCAATAGCCGCCTGAAGATACGAACTCGCAGTTTCCGACACGTTATATTGAGCGTCATATTCGGCCAACTTTTCCTTGAGCTACAGACAGACACAAGAAAGATCGGTAAAGAATGCTGGAAAAACAATAAACAACCATGCAGTTTTATTAAGTACGTACGGAAGTTAAATACGTTTTCGTTTCTTCGGTGCCTTTCTGAATTTGTTCTTGAAGTTTCTCGATATTTTGTGGTGCAGTAGACGCCATTTAATAGCTTTGAACTCTTTTGTGCTTATTTAGAAATGGACGATGAGATGGGAACAAAAGTCGTTTTGGTTGAGTCTAAAAATATACGGAAGCATCTCACGAAATAAGGAGCTTAAAACTGAATGCAACTGCTACTTAATATCTGAGAAGGCTACAAATTTGATTAAGCGTCTAAAAATAAGCCACTTCCTCTATCGTGACTTTCATAAATCAGTAGCGCAAACAATACATCACATGCTGAGATATTAGTATATCATCCAGTGCGATGCAATACAAACTCGATGTAGATCGTTGGACGGGCCTGGAAAAGAATATGGTGGATAGCGTGCTCCGTATGCGTGACCATGCTCTGGATTCAGCGAAACAGAAGTATTCATAAGCAGGAAAGTGCGTCCACGGAGCAAGAGGTAGCGGAAGTCAAACAAGTCCTTCTTCGCCAACTCCGAGCGGTCGCTATCAGGGAACAACGAAGGGATAAAGATGTGAGCAAAGGCGTCTACCTTCGCCTAGCAACGGAAATGTTCCAAGACACCATCAACATCCGGCAGCCGGTACTGCATAGCCCACGTAACCGCCAGGAGACAACTCCGGGGGTACTGGAATGGCTGAGGACTTTTCAGAAATTTTGTAAACCATAAACGGTAAATAGACAGTCTGTTTCCACCACAAACTCGATGTAGACCCAGCATCAGAGTGGAGAAGAATTATCGCTTACAAAATGACCAATTTAAGCATAAGGTTAGAAAATTCTTCATACTATGTATGACCACAGTAATAAAGGGACATTAGTTAAGTAGTGAGCCCAGGCATCTGCATGATTATATATACGCAACACCACATTTGATACTCGCTCATGGCCGCCAGCATCTCACAATGTTGCAATTATAAAGCCCCTTTTGTCCTGCTAAAGACCTGAATGGCTTCTGCTATTGTCTACCCTGCTTCTTCTTGTAATTTGCATACGTCTTGTCGTACTCTGAACGTGCTGCAGTCCCATGTAGAGCCATGTTAATACATGATTCTTTTCATTGGCTGTTCCTCTCCAGCCAATGATCCGATCTCATATCACATCAGTAGAATGTCGGACGTAGAGATGCAAGTGACGACGGAGGACGTGCCCGTGTTTGAAGGCATTTCTTCACGTAATCGATCGACGGAGTCATGGCCATGGGTGGAAAAGTACCGTCCTTCATTATTAGACGACCTGATCGCACATGAGGAGATCATTTCGACGCTCAATCGTCTCATTGATGCGCAGAAACTACCCCATTTGCTATTTTACGGACCTCCAGGCACGGGCAAGACGTCCATGATTATCGCAGCGGCCCGACGACTTTACGGGAAAAATTACGGCTCAATGGTATTGGAACTCAATGCATCGGACGATCGTGGTATTGATGTCGTACGTAATCAGATCAAGGAGTTTGCAGGCACCAAGAAACTCTTTAGTCACGGCGTGAAGCTCATTATTCTGGACGAGGCCGACTCGATGACCAACGACGCTCAGTTTTCACTGCGACGTGTTATCGAAAAGTACACGAAGAATGCACGCTTTTGTCTCATTTGCAATTATGTGAGCAAGATCATCCCAGCGTTGCAGTCACGATGCACGCGCTTTCGCTTTGCACCGCTTAACGAGAACCAAGTGAGTGGCCGAGTCAAACATATTGCTGAGCTAGAGCAGTACGTTGTAGTAAACTACGATATGAGGGTTTGCTTCCTTAGGATCTAACTGGTGCTTTGTAAATTATGGTAGCTTAAACATGACGGAGGACGGCTTCAAGGCTATTCTACGTCTAGGCCAGGGAGACATGCGTCGCATTCTCAATATACTGCAAGCGACGTCTATGGCCCATGACGTTGTCAATGAGGCAAATGTGTACCTGTGTACGGGCAATCCGCTGCCTAAGGATATTGAGTTGGTGACTCAGTGGCTTTTCAATGAGAGCTTCGCAACGGCAGTGCACAAGTGTGCTGAGATGCAAAAGCTCAAGGGCTACGCTACGAGTGACATCCTGCAGGACGTGTACCGCTACACTACGGAACTAGAGCTGCCACCGCGCTGTCGCATGTATTTATACGATGAGCTGGCCAAACTAGAACACCGCCTGTCAAATGGCACTACGGAGGAACTGCAGTTGGCCTCGCTCGTTGCAGTCTACGCAATTGCCCGGGACCAAATGTCCAGCGCCGTTGCCGGGGCCTAATAATCTTGCTCGCAACGCGGCTGGGTGAGTAGAGACTCTGAAAAAGGACCAGAAGACCAAAAGCAATCAAAACCAAAGCCGTCATGCACTTCTCTTTCTTTAACTTGTCTGGAGCTGAAAACCTCGAGCGGTGAGCAGCGAGGTATGCACCGGGCATCTGGCATATCCATCAGCGAGACGAAAGCTTCAACTAGCCACGCAAATTACCAACGCAGCTCTTTCTGTAAGCACACTTGGCTCCTCGTACTCTTGCGCGTATACTTCCAAAGCCGCAATCGTCTACTTCTCCAGCGCCAGCACCTTACCGATAGCAATCGTCTTACCTTCGTCACGAAGAGTGAGACGGCCAAGCTGAGGCATGTTGGCAAACGTCTCAATTGTAATGCTCTGGTCCACCTCAATTCGGCACACAACGGCTTGGCCCTGCTTAATGAAAGCCACATGCTTCTTCACCGGCTTGCCCGTCTTCGGGTCGATGGGGCGGAGCAATTTCGCAACAACGCACTCCTGAGCTATGGTGTGGATGTGCAGAATACACTTATATCCAGCCGTCAGCAATGGACGGTGTTCCAGGGTGTCCACAAGGGCAATTTGCGCCGCAAAACCATGGATGGCGCGCGGTTGAATCTCCTCCTTGACGCCACAAAGCACGAAGCCCTTTTGAACTTCATCCATACCGCTGGACAGACGAATAGTCACGTTTTCGCCAGGCTTGGCAGTACGCACCGGCAGCTCATTAATGTACACTTGGTTAACCACAGCCGAAGTGCTCGTGGGCATCAGCACCACCTTCTGGCCTGTCTTGAGAATACCTGACTCCACCTTACCCAAGGCGATGGTACCACGCTCAGAGTAACGATCCAAGATTGGCACACGCAAAGCTCCATCCGGGTTACGATTAGCAATGTGCATTTTGTCCATGAAATCGATGAGCGAGTCGCCATCGTACCACGGAGCCTTAGCCTTGTCCAGTCGCACCTTGACATTATCACCATGAAGGCCAGACACAGGAATGAAAGCTACGTCACGCTTTACCGCGAAGCCACACGTGCGCAGGAACGGACGAAGCTTGTTGACGCACTCGTCAAATCGCTCCTGTCCCCAGTTTGCCTCATCCATCTTATTGATGATGACAACAAGCTTGTTGATGCCCAGTGTCTTTGCCAGCATTGCATGCTCACGCGTCTGTCCACCACGCTCGAAGCCCGTCTCGAACTCGCCCTTACGCGCCGAGATCACAAGGAGACCCACGTCAGCTTGTGACGCACCCTGAATCATGTTAGGCACATAGTTCTTGTGCCCCGGGGCGTCCAAAATTGTAAAACGACGGTTTTCAGTCTCAAAGTGGGCACGTCCGACCTCAACAGTGATTCCCTTCGTTCGTTCTTCCTCGCCCGTGTCCATAATGTAGGCAAGGAACCAACTATCACGGTTGCGTTGCTTGGCCTCACGCTCATAGCGTTCAATAGTTCGTTTGTCGACCATGTCCATGAGATACAGCAGATTGCCCGAGAGCGTAGACTTGCCGGCATCAACGTGGCCAATGAGCACGACATTCAAATGTTCACGAGGATCCTCGTCACCAACTTCTTCCTCTTCAAAGACCTTCTCCTCTTCCTCCTCTTCCTGTTCTTCCTCCACCCTTTTCTCCTCCTTCTTGACCTCCTTCTTCTCCTCCTCCTTCTCCTCCTTTTGTTCTTGTACAACGAGCTTCTCTACCTTCTCCTCCAGTTGAGTCACAGGTAAAGTAGCAGCAGTAGCATCAGGAGTAGAAACAGCAGCATTAGTACCTAGCTCAGCAGCTCCACCCTTTTTTGGAACGGGCATAGCCACGTCAAAAGCACGAGCTGGAGCAGGTGCCGGAGGTGGTGGCGTCCATGTGACGGCTCCTGGATTAAAAGAGAATTCTTTTGCTCCAGCACTTAGCGTTTTTTCTACATCAAAGAAGGAAAAACCAGACACAAAAAACATACAGCAATATATGAAAAGATTAGAGAAGAAGGTTACGATTATAAAGGAATGGATACATTATCTATCTCTTGTGATATTGTCTATTACGTACGGGAAGTACTGTCGTCCATGTTTTAGATGCTTTGAGTGACTGACGCATTGGCGTGGGGTGGTCTCGTATCGTTACTTCATGTAGTGTTACTTTAGACAGCCTACTGTACCCAATCGTTTCTTACAGGTGTACCCATGAATGCCTCGTCTCAGTGGCTTCAGCATTACTGGTGATGAGGAGCTCAAGACATGAGCTATTGCCGCAAAAGGCAGAAGATTTTCGGAAGCAAGAATACTGGGACAAGTTCTTTCAACAACGCGATGAAAAGGCATTTGAATGGTATGGTGACTATGCGTTGCTGCGTCCTGGACTGCAGGTACTACTGGGTCTGCCAGCTGACGCACCTGCGTCACTGCTTTGTCGGTTAAAGGCCAAAGTCCGCGTGTTGGTTGTAGGTTGCGGCAATTCGGCGCTAAGTGGGGACTTGGTAGCTGACGGGTTTGTAAATCTACTGAGTGTGGACTTTAGTGCGCGTGTGATTGATGAAATGCAGCGTAAACATCCAGCAATGCAATGGCAAGTGATGGATATGACGGACATGCGGACACTAGAGGACGGCAGCTTTGATCTTGTGATGGATAAAGGGGCATTGGATGCGTTAATGGCAGAAGATACTAAAGAGATCAAGGAGGACGCTTCTAGGATGTTAAATGAGGTGGAACGTGTGCTGGCTCCCGGTGGACGTTACTGCTGTGTCACTATGGCCCAAGACTTTATTTTACAGCATCTTCTTGGCTTCTTCCTCACTGCAAAGGACAATACGACAACGTCATGGAGTGTTGGTGTACAGGAGCTTCCACGAGAAGCACGCAAACCCTTTGCCCCGTTCCTTGTGGCAGCGATAAAGTGTCGGAATACAAACAACAAGGTGCAGTATAACACCAAAGAGTTTGTCAGTGATGTGCACGAAGCAAGACAAAGGTGGCTGATACACGAAGTGGAAGCTACGCAGTGGTTTGCTATGACGCAAGCGGCATTGCGCCAACTGAAGGTTGGTCGACAGGAAGTCATTGAGCTCATTGCCAATGACGAGAAGGACATGCAAGTGGGTGAGCATGGGAGCGTGGAAGGCCAGATGAACCCCAGATTTACGCTGCGACTGGTAGACGTTCACATACGCGGACCCAATGGAAGCTGTGCCGTGTTCCTCATCCCGCAGGGTCGTGAGCACGAGTGGATGTTCTCGACTGAAGAGGGAGCAAACGAACTTGCAACGGGGGCTGGATTCAGCCGTCTGATACTTGTTGCGCTTGGTCGTGGCGGGCACGCTTTCGAGAGCACTGCAAAGGTGCAGGAAGAGCTGAACGCCAAGGTCATGGAGCTGGCCCCCGACACGCTTGGCACTGATGAGAAGATTCCTTACTTGACAGTGCAGGAAGGTCTCGGTGCGCGTAATATTGTGCACCAGGGCACGTCGCCGCTCAGCGGTGCATTCTTCGTGGAGGAGGTGCAGGAGGACGGCGACCTGCTTCGCCGCTTGGTGTTTCTTAGCAACACAAATGTCATTCAAAGTGAGGTGAAGCTGCAGAGGTGCGAAAGCACTGCCCCCACTCCTCCTGCTACTTCTGTTCCAGTTCAGACTCCTTTAAACAGCGAAGCTTACGACATGACTCCCGAAGAAGCCGCAACTGCTGCTAAGAAGAAGAAAAACAACAAGAAGAAGAACCAGAAGAAGAAGAAAAAGGCTCAGGCGAAACAAGCGGGCATTGACACGTCATACCTGGCCTTCGATTATCATAAAGGCATGGTTGCGGCGCTTCATGCGGTGTCATTATCATCAAGAACGGTACCCAACGCGCTGCACCGCACGCTAGTACTTGGCCTTGGCGGTGGCTGTCTGGCGCAATACCTGCACGATAACGTACCAGGCATGGATGTAACAGCGTGCGAGCTGGATCCGACAATTGTGACAGTCGCCGAGCAGTATTTCGGCTTTTGCCAGGATCAACGGATGCGTGTGGTGGTCGCCGATGCACTTAAGTATGTGGCAGATCAATCTACAGCGGCTGAGAAACCTTGCTTTGACTCCATTATCGTGGATGTCGACGCAAAGCAACGAGATGTGGGTATGAGTTGCCCACCTGTTAGCTTCGTTGACGTCGTATTCCTGACACATGTGCACACCCTGCTTGCTCCTCATGGCGTGCTGCTTATTAACGTTTCCTGCCGCGACAGCGGACTTTACAAAGATATCATAGCGCGGCTCCAGCGTGTGTTCACGGGCTCCCGTGCAGTATTAACGCTGAAGCCGAGCGACCAAGACGTCAACAGTGTCGTGTTCATCCGCAAGGCAGACGCAAAGGAGCCCGACGCCCAGATGTTGTTGCAGCAGCTACATGACCAGGGTTGCCGGCGCGGCAAGACCGAGAATGCTCCTCGTTACGTTGACAACGAGCTGTGCGAGCTCATTCGCGACATTAAGATATCCAAGTAGCCAGCGCTCGATAACACGTAAGTAGATCCCTGTTGCGTTTGAGCCTCTCTGCATGTTTGTCTCTTTTAGTTTGTTTCTATTTATCCCACTTGTTAGAGCATCAAGCCGCTGCTTCTTTCCAGATTTCCATGTCGCGACAGACGTTATCCAACCTCCGTCTCAGTGATATAGTTACGTCATCAAGAGCGCTGCTACTTGGCCGGGATGGCCAGCACTCAACCTACGTCGTCTTGCTCTACAGCTCTGATTCATCGTCTCCGTTCTCTTCGTGCTTCTCGCTACTTTCTTCATCACTGCTATCAGCTCCCATTCCGCCTTGGAAAAGAATCTCGCACACACGTTCGTCTACAAGCCACTCGTCCTCATGCACAGGCAACGCCATAAAGAAGCCAACAACATCGACGGGGTCCAATTCCTCCTTGCCAGCTCCCATCCACTCAATCATATTAACCAGCACTTCGTTATTGAAGCGACATTCGCGTAGCTCCTCCCCAAAAGTCTCTCCGTCTCCTTGTTCCTGGTCACATTCCTCTTCCCTTTCCTTCTTGCTTTCTTTGCCGTCGCTCTCCTCCTCCTTATCATTCGACGATAAGCGATGCTGGTCCTCATAGTAGCTCTTGGGGTACGGGTATTCACATGCCATCTCAAAGTACAGCAACTCTCTGGGCGTGGCATCGTCGTCTCCAAAAGCCACAATGACCGAGAACTTGATGAGCGTTTCTTCCTCCTCTTCCTTCTCTTTTTCCTGTCTCACTCTCTCATACCTGTACTTGGTAATCAACGACCTCTTCTCCTCCGTCTTCATAGCAATCATAGCCACCGATGTCTTGCATTTCTTGGTCACTTTCCGGCTTCCCAACGTCCAACGCACGTTCGTGGTCATGACCACATTCCGCTTAACATCATAGTTGCAACTGCAGCTATCCACCGTCAGCTTCTCAGCCAGTGTCTTGTATACTGGTGACTGACTTGTAATACCCTCAATCAAATCCATGGACACCGGGTGGTGGCCAAGACGTTCCCGTGCTCGAGTGGTCTCAAATGCTAATTGTGCCTGAGCACTCAGCGCCCGTAGCACGTCCAGACGCAAAGCCAAATTGCTGCTTTCAAAGTGGTCCACGACACGCTCAATGGCGTCATCTACGTCCGTTGCAATGCTGCTACCGCGACGGTCATGCGCTCCAATCAACATGGTCATCTGACGTTTCCTAGGCCACTAATGGCACTTATTGAGCGGACTTAGTAAGAAGTCTCCAGCACCACCATTCGTCTACAGTCGACGAGCTCGAAAAAATAACGGTTTTGAGCATACAAAAGTCAAGTGATTTCTAGCTGCCACGATGGACTCGGACCATACCATGGACGATACCTCACCTGCGCAGTTTGCAGAGCAAATCTCTACCGCCGAGTTCGAGCGCCAGGCGGTCGAGTACACGACACAAGAGGTGCAGCGTCTAAACACCGCTGTACGCGCACAGCCAGAGATTGGCGCGCGCTCGGAGTTTTTCCAGCACAAGGAGAACGTGATCAAGGGACTGCCGGTCTTTCAAGGCAAACACACGAGGTTTGTGTACGACAACGAAGAAGAGGAGATTGTGGCGGCTGTTGACGTGACGCAAGAGGCGCTTACCAACGGACCTGTGGTGCGCACAGTCGCGGAGCTGGACGAGGAGGGAGAAGACGAGAACGAAGAAGAAGAAGACGAGGACGAGGCAGCGCAAAACACATTCTACAGTGCAGGGCAGGAAGGTGACATGATGATGGACGACCATTACGTGAACGCTCTGATAGAGGACGTGGAGATGGAGATGGCCGCAGTGGCTATTGACGAGCAGAATCTGATGAACACAGCTGCTTAGAAACAATAAAGGAGAGGAAGGACTAGGAAACTGTAGATTAGGAACCATTTCTCAATGTGTTGAAGGATGCAAGACTATGGAAAGGTAATGAACGGAGCAGGTTTGTGCATATCACCATCGTCTTCCAGGCTGGAGGTGTTACTATAATTTGTCTACTCTTGTTGTGTGCTTTGCTGTATATGCTTAAAGAGGAAGCCTATTTGCGTGTCGACCTTCTCCGCCCCTTGAGTCGCTTCCTATGTGTCTTTGTCTGTAGGTGGTCCTAGACGAAAGTGGAGGGAATAAGATAGCGCAACTAAGGCGTATGCGGTCCAGGAAGGTATTGAGGGATATGGCAGTTAAAAGGGTGTTGACACGATCAAATCATGTTTCAATGCTGCATGTTAACAGAATAGGCACGTTGTGGTTGTTTTGCTATGCTGACTCTGTCCAGCGTTTCGTATCTACGAGCTCTTCACATCACTTGGAGCCTTGGAAGGTACTAGTCACGTAGTCCACCGACGAAGAGACCGCTCCCGAGGCACGATCCATCAACGAAGGGTTTGGATCCGCGGGCTTGATCTTTTCAGAAGCATCAGACGCCACGTTGGAAACACTCTCAGCAGCAGCTGAAGCGTGATCCGCCATTGACTTTTGTGTTGCAAGAAGCTGGTTCTGCAATGCCTCAAAGCCATGGAAAGTCGATTCTCGAGTCGAGTTGACAAGTGATGTAATGGAATCTTTCCAGGATTCCATTGTACTCGACCCATTTTCCTTGGCATTGTCTACGTTTGAATTGATGGAGTCACGCATCCGTTGATCGTACGATTGTGCCGATTTCCCCAAATCATCCAATGCAGCGTTTGCTTGGTCCATCGTGTGTTTGGCCGACTCAACGGCAGAGTCCGATACATTGTTTCCATCGGTCCGTACATCTTCACTTGCATTCTTGAGCTGTTCGACCAAATCACTGGCTCGATCCATGGCGGCTTGAAAATAAGACGTGGCTGACTCGGTCGCTGATTTGTTGGAGGTCTTGTCATAGTCGGCAAACTTGTTCTTGAGCGATTCCAAATACGTCGAAGCTTCAGTGGCACCACTTTTCATTAACTCCTGGAGCTTGGAATACTCTTGTTGAGCAGTGCTGGAAGTGCTGGAAGTGGTGGTGTGGTCAGTGATGCCCATGATTTAGTTAAGAGTGGAAATGATCAGGTGAGTAGTGTCTGGTTGGGATCAAATGGTAAAGTGATCAGCTCAATGAGAAGAACTATGAGAAGAACAGTGGAAAAGATCGAGTGACGTGCGTACAGAAGTCAGAGCGGCGAGCGTACATTGGCATCGTCCAACAATCATGATGGGTGCGATAAAATATTCCACCTGAGAAATTTTATTATTGATGGCTGATATAGTTAGTGGCTGCGATAATTAAATTTTTAGTAGATGAGAAAAAGAAATTATTATCCATCATTGTGATGGCCGCAATCAAATGGATCCGTTAAAAACTTAGGTAGCCATTAACAATTTATTGACTAGACCAATGTCGACGAAATGGCCTCGTTCAGGAATTGAGCTGGATTATTTGAACTTGAAACTTCTCCACTATAATTCTTTTCTTCTCATTGAGCTGATCACTTTACCATTTGATCCCAACCAGACACTACTCACCTGATCATTTCCACTCTTAACTAAATCATGGGCATCACTGACCACACCACCACTTCCAGCACTTCCAGCACTGCTCAACAAGAGTATTCCAAGCTCCAGGAGTTAATGAAAAGTGGTGCCACTGAAGCTTCGACGTATTTGGAATCGCTCAAGAACAAGTTTGCCGACTATGACAAGACCTCCAACAAATCAGCGACCGAGTCAGCCACGTCTTATTTTCAAGCCGCCATGGATCGAGCCAGTGATTTGGTCGAACAGCTCAAGAATGCAAGTGAAGATGTACGGACCGATGGAAACAATGTATCGGACTCTGCCGTTGAGTCGGCCAAACACACGATGGACCAAGCAAACGCTGCATTGGATGATTTGGGGAAATCGGCACAATCGTACGATCAACGGATGCGTGACTCCATCAATTCAAACGTAGACAATGCCAAGGAAAATGGGTCGAGTACAATGGAATCCTGGAAAGATTCCATTACATCACTTGTCAACTCGACTCGAGAATCGACTTTCCATGGCTTTGAGGCATTGCAGAACCAGCTTCTTGCAACACAAAAGTCAATGGCGGATCACGCTTCAGCTGCTGCTGAGAGTGTTTCCAACGTGGCGTCTGATGCTTCTGAAAAGATCAAGCCCGCGGATCCAAACCCTTCGTTGATGGATCGTGCCTCGGGAGCGGTCTCTTCGTCAGTGGACTACGTGACTAGCACCTTCCAAGGCTCCAAGTGATGTGAAGAGCTCGTAGAACCTGAAATACACCATGATACATTCATCATACACAGCTCAGCGACATAAATCACTGCAAAGTTTCTTCGTCATTTTCTTATGTACATAGATTTTATACTTGTCGTCACCACCCACTGGTTGATTCTCAGCCTCGTTAGCAACGCCGATTCCTCGTTCCGAGTCCGGTGGATGTACAGGTCCTGTCCTTGACCACCTCGGATAGACTCCACCCGCGTCTGTTTGCATTGTTTGCAAGGAAGCACTGAAGCCGTCCAAGTTCCCAGCGTTCTTCTGTCCAGTGGTAGATAAGCGTCTGCCAGTAGGCTTGCGCGCACGGACATGTCTAGCAAATGTGTTCCAGTGTTTCTTCCACCCTTCGAAGCATTCGGTCTGAATGGAAGAGCCTCACTGCCACTTTGCGACTTAAACTTTGTACGCGGGGTGGTCGTCCTTATGATCCAGAGATTGATTGACGTCTGTTGTCATGCCACACACTTCCACGCGCTGAGTCCTGGAGCATCTCCAGCGTTCGTGTCAGCGCACCGCGTAAGCCTTTGGACCGACGAAACAATTGCTTTATCAAAAGCAATAGTACGTGAATGTCGGGCCCACTCCATTGGAACCTTGTGGATTAGCGGATTCGCATCGAATACGATGTCCCCTCCATCCTGACCCTGTCAGAGCCTCTGACAGTCGGCAACCGTCCGCTGATCCTTGATCTCGTTGCGGCCATTTTCCAATAAATTCCATCACTGTCTTGCTCCAGGGCGATAACGCTCCGCTGATCTGGGTCTGAGACCACCTTGATGCCGCTGACGCAGCCCGTCGTTAAATATTCCTCATGTGAAAGCCTGTATCAAAGTTGCGCGGAGTGGCGTAGGAGTAGGTCCTTTCGTACTTGAAGCCCTCCACCCACAGCTACGCTTGATGCGCTTATCAGATTTACTATATGTTCATCCCTTTGGGCAAGTGTTGCGCCTCCTGCATAAACACCGTCGAGTTGTCGACGAGAGCCACGAAGTTGTGTTCCTCCCTGACACTTCAGACCAATGACCTCGGTGTCACGCAAGTAGTTTTGCTGCGAAGAGAGAAAGTATCGGAGCAAGTAAGCACCCCTGTCGTATTCTAAAGACCACCTCCTGTGGCTTCGAAAGAGCTCCATTAGCCACAAATGGGGCTGTCGTGAACTAAAGCCGCATTGAGCAAGATGTCGGTCTTGCTGTATCTCCGCATATAGCGGCGTGACAAGTACGCGTAGTAAACTGACGTGCAGCCTATCAGTCTTACAGGGGACAGTTACTGTAGCCGTTCATTGAGAAAGCGACGAGACGAGAACGAGAAATAGCTGAGAAAACTGCAAAACCCGTTCGCACGTATGAGATTTCGATGCAATGAACCAAAAGGTTCTCATGACCGTTGTTGGTATACATCAACCTCAATCGAATTCACACCCATCATGCATTGGGACGAGGTGCTTCTGCAAGAATCGCAACTAAACCGTCGAAAACTCGGTCGGTCAATACTAACGGCACGCGTCTTGGACGACTCCAATGCTCATTGAGCGATTTTCCTCCTTGAAAGACAGCAAACCACGACAAGAACGACAAGAATTTATACCAAATGGCTGACATGAAAAGCAAGACGAACGCCCACCACGACGATGTTAATCGGGCTAAGGAGCAGATTGACGAGACGACCCAGAAGGCCGATTCCTATTTGACAAGTGTAAGTTTAATTTGTCTGCTTGCAAGATGAAGAGGTGTCGGTTTGAAGGAATGACTAACTTCTTGTCTGTTTGATGAACTAGTTGACGAAAAATGTTGAGGAGTATGAGAAGAAGCACTCGAACTTTGAACCGGCTGGGAAATACCTGAAGTCGGCATTGGACGCATCGCGTTCGGCGACACAGAAGCTGAAAACCCAGGGACAGGACCTCTCGGAGCGATCGGTTCCAGTGGCCATTGAGGGCATGCGAGGAGTTCGTGAGTCTCTTGACGACCTGCAGAAGCGAGCTGTCGAGTATGACGACAAGTACGCCAAGTCACGTGGTCAGACAGCCATGGACACCTTGCACCATTGGGTGAACAATGGCCGTCAACACGCGACCGACGCCGTGGAAACGACCAACGATCAGCTGATGAAGCTACGCGATGCAATTGGAAACATGGCTGGTCAAGCTACGCTCGGTGCACAAGTCGCTGTCGGCGAAGCCGTGCGTGCTGCAGAATTTGGGGACGAGAAGCTGGGTGTGAGCAGCACGGCCGGTGGCGTCGTGCAGAAGATGCGTGACTTGGATGCACGTTTGGGCGTATCGGCCACGGCCGCGAAGGTCGACAGTAAGGTGACGGGCGGTCTGGGCTGCAAGGTGGCGTCAACTACCGTGGACATTGTTACTGAGAGCGTGAGCTATATTTCGGACACCCTGCACAATGCAAAGCTCGCAGCACAGCAATCGGAGACAGCACAAAGTGTTGAAGCACGGGGCGTTGCACTAGGTGAAGCCGCTGTGGATACGAAGAATGAGTTGCAGTCAACTTATAACGAAGCGTATGAGAAGGGCAGAGCAATGGCTGGCATGGCGACGGAGAAGTCGGAAGAAACGGCCAAAGAGGTGAAGGACACGACCAAAGAGAAGGCTGGTCAAGCAAAGGACAAGGCTGTCGAGGCAAAGGATACGACGAAAGAGAAGGCTGGTCAAGCAAAGAACAAGGCGAAAGATGAGACGGAAATGGCAAAGGACAAGGCTGGCCAAGCGAAGGACATGGCTAAAGAGAAGGCTGGCCAGGCAACAAACAAGGTTGGCGAGGTGAAGGACATGGCCGGAGAGAGAGCTGGCCAAGCGAAGGATATGGCTAAAGAGAAGGCTGGCCAGGCAACAAACAAGGCTGGCGAAATGAAGGACATGGCAGCAGAGAGAGCTGGCCAAGCGAAGGATATGGCTAAAGAGAAGGCGGGAATGGCGAAGGACAAGGCTTCGGAAACTGCTGGTCAGGCGAAGGACAAGGCCTCGGAAACTGCTGATCAGGCAAAGCACAAGGCTGGTAATGTGAAGGAACAAACGAAGGAGAAAGCTGGTGATGCAAAAGACATGACTCAGGACAGGGCTGTTCAAGCCAAAGAGGCGGCTAAAGACGCTACTGGAATGACAAAAGAGCAAACCGATCATAGCAAGGAAAAGGAGTCGAAGCACATGTCAAAGGGTTCCAAGTGAATACCAGCTGAACCTGACAGCTTGTCGACTCATCCGGTTGGGTTGATCAGTTTCACCTCGATATATATCTAAGTTTGCAAGTCTCATTGCACGAGGCAACAACGTCGTCTGCAAGTCTCATAGGAGAAGAGTAATGGTTAAACGTTGATTTTATCCTCTTGGTTATTTTTCGTTCCATTGTGGCTGCCAGCTTAGAAGTCGAAGGGGTTGAACGATTTACTTGTGGCCATTGGCTTTGTTTGTGTAGACAAAGAAGTCGGCTGGAGGAGGTTATTGGGTGGATTGGGTGTCAAGATAGAAGAAGCCTGAGCATATTGCAGCAGCACATTAGTGGAAAGTGAGAGCTTATGGCAAAGAAAACAGAAAAACAAACCTTTGTGGAGAAGTCCAGCATTTCAAATGGGTCGCTTACTTTTGTGTCTATAGTACTGCTGGTTGTGCTCGAAAAGCTAGGCTGTCTTGCTACCGATGTGGTCAAACCACAATATGTGTTGGCTGTGAAGAAAAAAAACGTTGTCAGACCTTGAGACTTTTCCAATCATGCAAGCTATCAGAAAATACCTATATTACCGCTCCGAGAATCATGTGCTGGTGTCTTCGTGGAAGCAGTATTTAAGACCATAGAATGGCTCAAGGGATCACCCCCTAACCAAAGATCAGGTGTAGTTGCGGGCTGAGAAAGAGTTGGAGCCGCCGTATGAACATCTGCTTAACGAATACGAGTCAGTTCCATCCCATGATATGCATGCACGTTAAGACTTACCATCCCACAAGTCGATCAAGTCCTTCGTGGATGCTGCAGGTTCCAGCGCTTCAGCTGACTGCGTCTTACTTTCAACATCCCGGTTGCTACTGCTGAGGATTTTAGTCGCCCGCTCTTGCACAAAGCTCGCAAATGGGTCGTCTTCTTCCTGTGACGCCTTAGGAGCAGCCTTGGTCTCAACTTCAGACTTCAAGCTTTCTTCTGACTTGTTTTGATCGACAGTTTCGATCTTGGATACGGTGCATGCACGCACAAAATCCGCAAATGGATCGTCATCGATCAAATTCTGATTTTTCTCGTTCCTTTGCGGGAGCACGTCTTCCTTCAGACCGAAAGGATCGACGAGATCAATGTGTTGGACGGACTCTTTCTTGGACTTTCCAGCAGTTTCTTCTACCGCGTTTTGTTTTTTTGCCAGCAGCTCGTCATATTTTTTCAGCGCAGCGTGAAGATCATCGTTGATCGACAAGTACTTTGCCAGGTTCTATATCAGCGGATAAAATAGTAAAGATCAGTTTTCTTGTTTCACATAGCTATCCGTGTGAGCAAAAAGACGTACCTTATCCTCTTCTCCAACGGCAATAGGGATAGCACCTTCCATCCTATGCACTATCTCTCTCACTTGCACAGCCAGTTCTTCCATCACTCCGTGGTTGCTGATAGCACACGTATCCTTTTGCGCCTCGTATAACATATCCTCAAACATTTCTGACACGTTTGTCGCAACACCATACAGCTCGAGTGTTGACAATCCGCCCAGTCCACTGCTAGTGTTTGAGTAGGACGAAGTGTTAATTGAATTCGATCCGTAACTTCGGACAAAACGCCCACTTGTTGCGCCACGTCGACCTCCAGACGTCACGTCCACCGGTGGTGTCAATACTGGCACCTTTGATTCGTCGTACTGGTCTGGAAACTTAATACCTTTCCTGCGCATATTGTGATACGTGTCGACAAACAGAGGGAACTCATGCTACCAACACGCAATATCAATTATGTGCAACGTCAAACACGACAGCATCAACCGCATCATTTACATTACACCACAAAAAAAGCACTTACTCGAAACGGTAAAAAAGCTTCACCCCACGCTTGGATCATATCCAGCACACGACTGGCAATTTCCATACTGGTCCGTCCCCGTTTATTTGCATGTATCTACACAACCACAGTAACAAGAGCAAACAAACCAGCACAACCCTTCATCAGCTCTATCTAGTTTTATTCTTGAATACTTGACCAACACATTCTTCATCTTACTCGATAAAGTGCTTCCATTTCATTCATAAACGACTCGGATGCAATCTCCTGATGAACTAAATCTCCACAATTTTTAACAATTGACTCGGTTAAAGTCAGTGCTAAAACCACAACACGAGACGATGGATCTCCTAGTCTCAGTCTCAGATATCGCACTGATTCTTTCAAGCTACAAACACTCGTGAACGTGAGTTCCAGACGTCATACAAAACTCAAGATGTTTTCGTACTTACACGGCCCGATTAACCACGTTACTAAGTGCATCCACAACGCGTAAAATTCGATCCCAATCTTCATCCGTCTCAAATTCATTGGTTGCTTGCGTAATCATAGTTGTCAATTGTGTAATTCGTTCAATTTCCATTGGTGTATACGAAACAGCGACCGTTTTTTGTTGTACGAGCTGATTAATTGTTAGTGTGACTTGTCGTTTACTTGGTATTTTTTTGCGTAGAGATTGGATTGTCACGTCCATTATCTTGTATGGAAGGAGAAGAAGAGAGAGAGAGAGAGAGAGAGAGAGAGAGAGAGAGAGAGAGAGAGAGAGAGAGAGAGAGAGAGAGAGAGAGAGAGAGAGAGAGAGAGAGAGAGAGAGAGAGACGAGAGAGCGAAGAACGCGGTGCTTCGAGGTGCTTCGAGGTGTCGGGAAGAGAGGAGAATGTTTCTGATTGGTAGAAAACAAATGACTACCTGGACGTAAGTATACACCGTCCTATTGTTGACTACCCTTTTTGATCTCGTTTTTCTTTTGAACCAATCCAAAACATACACAACTGTGATTGGATAATAATCATCACTTCAACCATTGATGATATCAATTTTGACAAGATCAAGAAAAGGAGCAAACAATTCGAGACAACGTCATCCACGGGTAGGGATGGCTACACAGCAACACCACCAACAGGAGGAGCTTGAAGCAATCTTTCGTACCACGTACGCACGTTTTCTATCACAAGGTCTTGCTCCCAATGATGCCGTTGCACGTACACTTTTAGAACTCCAAGAATGTTCGAAAGATGACGCAATCACGGGTGACGCTGGCGCGTCATCCCCTGATGTAAAAATGGACGACACGTTTCACTATCAGCACAAAGAAGACGTGGAAATGGAAATGTACAAAGAAGAGACACAGGTCTCGTTGTCGTCGACAAAACCAACGCCCACGACGTGGACGGCTAATATGAACCAATCAACGACAGCGATTAATTCTGTCACTTCTATGGGCACAGAGCTTGAACTGGCGTTACAATTGGCGACAGAGACGGACGATTATCAAGTTACAAAGAGACTTGTTTACCATGTGTTTTCGGATCCAGAGATCTTGAGTGATGCATTTATGAGTGACAAGACACTAGCAGAAGAAGAAGAAAAAGAGATGAAATGGTGGTGTATTGATCAAGAGAAAATGAAACGAGTGTTTACGTTGCTCGATGCTGCAATGACTGATAGTTGTGACCAAAAGGCTCTACAGAATACTTTTCGAAATGCATTGGAGATGCTCGTGACACAGCCATGGAATATCTGCTCGACGTGGGATTCTCCACGTGCATTACGCTTCTTTTTAATCATGTTTGAACACCCGTCAATGTTTGATCCCGATTATTTGAACGTCGTGGGTGGACTCTGTCGACTGTTTTATTATCTTCCTGAAGACGCCAAGGCCCTTGTTCGTGAGCAATGGGTCACTTTTTTCTCGGCGGACGATCTGCATCGACTTTTGGATATCCTGCAACAAGCAATCACCGTGTGTCTCTACGGCTCGCGCAAAATGGACCTCGTGTATGCAGCTTGTGGCGTTCTTGCGCAGCTCCAGATTGTAAACCGGGAGCGATCAAATGGCCACGAACCGTTTGCCACGTACGAGGAGTTTTATAATGATGCTGTAAATTCCGAAGTGGACATTACGCAGGACTATTCACGTTCCATTATCTTTTGGAAGAAATGCCGTGCTGCCCTGCATTCTACTCATCGGTTGGAGCATGAGGAGCTGCGACGTCGTCAGCAGCAGAATGATGGCGAAGATACGACGGAGCGTGAGCGTGTAGAACAAGAGAGGAGACAGGAAGAAGCTAGACGGAAGGCTGAACCCATGCCGGAGCGCATGCTTTCGGAAATGTCATTTTGTGATTTTCCTTTCGTTTTGGATGCGGGTTCCAAAAGCAAAGTGCTGCATATCGATTCGGATCTCGAGCAGCGTGCACGTGCGCAGGATGCAGTGTTGTCTCGCTCTATATTGCTCGCGGAACGTGCACAATCACCTTACTTGGTACTAAAGGTGCGACGTGAAAATATCGTGGAGGACGCGATGCAGCAATTAGTGCACTTATCCTCGTCAGCGGAGACGCTGAAGAAGCCTCTTAAGGTTAAGTTTGTCGGTGAAGAAGGCATTGATGAGGGTGGTGTGCAGAAAGAGTTTTTTCAAATCCTCATTCGACAGCTACTGGATCCGGCCTATGGTATGTTTACGTACGATGAGGAGACACGTACATTGTGGTTTAACAGCGATTCACTGGAAGCCACCATGGAGTTTGAGCTAATTGGTACGCTTCTGGGTCTTGCTATTTACAACGCTGTTATTCTGGACGTTAGCTTTCCACACATTGTGTACAAGAAAGTAATGGGCTACCCACTTGGACTGGAAGATCTTGAGTTAGCAATGCCTGATCTTGGACGTGGTCTACGGCAGCTGCTGAACTTTCAGGGTGACGTAGAGGAAGTATATCAGCGTACGTTTGAGTACTCGTATGAAGTGTTTGGCGAGGTTAAGGCGGTGGAGCTGAAGCCAGAAGGGAGCTCAATTCCTGTAACGAAGAGCAATCGCGAGGAGTACGTTGCGTTATACGTAGACTATGTGCTGAACAAGTCGGTCTCCCGACAGTACGCTGCTTTCCACCGTGGCTTCCACCAGGTTTGCAATCATGAGGTCCTAAGCATGTTCCGGTGGGAGGAGTTGCAGTTGCTGATCTGTGGCAGTAGCGACCTGGACTTTAAGGCTCTTGAGGAAGCTACGCACTACGAGGACGGTTTTGCAGAAGACAGCGAGATCATCCGGTACGCCACTGTGGCGATAGCTTTTTGTGCTTACAACAACTGACTCCTGCTTGCCTCTGTAGAGATTTCTGGGTCATCGTGCACGCACTTCCACTAGAAGACAAGAAAAAGCTGCTGCGGTTTGCGACAGGTAGTGATCGCGTACCCATCCGAGGTCTCTCAAATCTAGTGTTTGTCATCTCGCGCAACGGCCCAGACTCTGGTCGCCTTCCTACGGCGCATACCTGGTGAGAGGAGATATGTTGCAGTTGTTTGTAGCGTTGCAACTAACGCGACTTGCTATGCGTCTGTACAACCAGCTTTAACCACCTGCTACTACCCGAGTACAGCAGCCGCGCGAAGCTCAAAGAGCTTTTGCTACTAGCAATTAATCAGGCCGAAGGTTTTGGACTACGGTGAACAGGAAGTCGTCTCAAATCATGACGAGCTTAGTCGGTCATCGAGACAACATTCTGCTGCTGATTGCTTTGCAATTAGTGTCACTAGAAGACTCTCCGTCGACTTGTTGCCTGGGAACATCTAAAATGCTGTCCGACATATAAGCTTTACTTCGCATTAAATTTGAATTTGCTGGAGATGCATTCTGCCGTCGCACTAATTCAACTGTACAGTTGGTTTGTCGCCATGGTGATACAAAACACCGATTCCTACATCTAAGTGAAAGTATATGGACAGCTTAGAAGCTTGCACCACGCTAGGAGATGCCGACGATAAATACGCCACGTACGAATGATAGGTCTATCCTTCTCCTGTCGTCGTCACTTGTCGTTGCAGCTAACGCACTAGAACTTGTGATAGGGCTCCTCTATCTTCTCCACCATTTGGTCGTACAATTTGCAGTCTCCTGCCTGTTTCTCAGCCATGAGTCGGTTAAGCATAGGCTTCCACTTTCGACCACGAGTATTGATAAACCAGTTGTTCACCTGCTCCAACGTGATACCACCTTGTCGAGCAAGCCATTCCTTCTCCTCTTCCGTCGGATATGGATGATGCAAATTATGCTCAAACCAGTCATGCATCAACTTCTTGGACAATTTCGAAAGACTCGACCGTTTCTTGGGCAAACTGTTGCGAGCTGCAAGTTCCATCGCATAAGGTGAGATTTCAGCTAAAGACATGGACAGTGAAGGTAACAAGCAGTCACCTCCTTCTGTAGTCGCAGGATTTGCTTGCGATTGCAATTGCTGCTGCTGCTGTTGTTGTTGAATCATCCGTCGTTCTCCCCATTCATGTAATTGATGAGCTGCATCTTCGTACCGCGCACAAACAGTTTGATCTTCTATCACCTCACTCGCCGCACGGGCCATCGTCTGCAACGAAACTGCCTCCATATACTGAGATCTACTAGTGTCACTACTGGATAATCCATCTCCGTCCTCTTGATACGTTACAGAGCTTGTCGGCATTTTCTCAATCTCTGCTGCAAACGGATCAACCGCGTCAGGTGACACTTTCACTGCTGAATTGTTCGCCAACATGAGCAGATTTTCATTCCCTGGAAAATTCTCATCCATATGTAAACGCTTGCGACTTTGTCTCACCAGTGCCAAACATTCTTCCTTACTTGGAATTAACTGCATCGTTGCCGTTTCTTCATGTGCAGGGGATAGCAGGACCACCATCGATTGCAAATCTTGTTGCAGCTCCTCCTTTTTCACGTCCATGGACTGTCCTTCTTCTTCCAAAGACCGTCGCTGTAATTTTTGTGGTCCAATTGTTTGCATGGACAATGCACATTTGGGATCTCGACGGTGTGAGCCTGGAATGTAATCAGGACAATTGGGAAACGTCATGGGGTTTGCAACAAGGTACAAGACGACAAATGAAGGACTAAAAGACTCGCTATTGGTGCCGCTGGTATTTGATTGATGACAAGTGACAAATGTAACTATCAAAGAGACACAGTCCACCATGACGATATATGAGAAGGGACAGAGGGACCAGCTGGTGTTTTTACTTAAGTATACAACTAGCTGATCCAATCACACGATTGTTTTCACTAGTCGACATTGCATATGTCGTAATCAGTAGTTGTACCACATTAGCGGTACCAAATGATTCTTCCATTTTGTATCCAATGGCTACCACGTCCTCCTCACCGGCAGCGATTGCCTCGACGTGTACAGCTTACGTTGCAATGCTACCGTATGCCTACACTACAAACGACGTTGCACAGCTCTTTGCTCCCTTTGGAAAACTAGCACGCGTATTGGTACTACGTGATAAGCAGACACGTCGTAGTCGTGGTGTGGCTTTTGTACAGTTTGTTCGAGCTGAAGATTGTGCTCAAGCTGTCGCAAAGATGGACAAAATGCCACTGGAAGGAATGATCTTGGCTGTTTCTTTGTCTCGTGACAATGGCCGCTCGCAAGAGTTTGTGAAAAAACGCAAATATACGACATCCCAGCGCTGTTTTGAATGTGGCGAGATGGGTCACGTGTCCTACGAATGTCCACGGAATGTACTGGGCACACGGGAGCGACCGGTATCGACGGGAGGTAAAAGTAGCAGGAAGAAACTCAAGAAGAAAAAGAAGATTGATTTGCATGAACGTGCACATTATTTTAACGACCAAGGGGTCGTCAACATTCTGTACGTTGCAAGAACGAGTGATCTCTCTATCGGACAAGAAGCTGTAGGTGCTTCGAAAGTTATCTAATGAATTATTGGACATGTGTTTGTTAACAGAGCACCACCTACGAATTCCGACGACGAAGATCTTTCCATTTCCCTGCTTGCGTACCCGTCCGCAGCATCGTCATCTTCATCAGCATTGCTATTGGCGACTGCAACTCCACCGTCTGCTGCTGTGTCAGCGCGTCGTCGACCTCAACGGAAAACTGCCAGTTACTTCAGTGACGAAGACGCTAGCGACGAGGAGTGACATGTCTGATGCTACGGACAAGAACTTATCAACTTGAGAGGATGAAGTGTCTATTTCCGCTGACGTTTGTTGCTATGAGGGTGTCTACCGCCATCTTTTGTACCACTGCGACGACTCAGACCCGTGTACTTGAGCATGCGAGATGTCATTTCCTCAGCCGAGACCTCTTCACGAAGCTCCGTCTCCTCCGACGCCGCAAAACGCAGCGCTCTAGATGCTTCCTTGAACTCGTCCTCCACACCCTTGTTAAAGCTTCCAAAAGAGCGACGGCCAAACAGCAGCGGCAGTGATGGGTCGGGCACATCACGTGTACAGGTGATCTCGGAGCCGTCGTCGGTCTGCTCGTCGACTTCGGGCACAGACTCCCCCCAAGTGTCTTGTGTGTGCTGCTTCTTTACAGCACTGATGCGCTGTGCCTCTGTCGTCTTCTTGCGTTGCATGAACTGTTCCAAAGGTCACATCAAAACGTCAACATCCCCATTGGACAGTCAAGCTCCAGTCAACAAACAGCCGCACCTTCATGGCCAGCGTCTTCTGCGACAGCACAAACTTGGACGGCGTCTTCTTCGTCATGTGCGATGGCAGGTCTTTCCCTTTTATTGGAGCTTCTTCATCGTCTTCGTCAATGATTGTGGACGTCTTGTCCTCATCTACAACAGTGGGCGTCGTGTCGTCTGGTCGATCAGTCCCGGGCTTCCACATCCTAAAATGGTCCGTAGATTGAGCTTTTATGTAGAAAATTAATGGTACAGGTCTCTCTCTGGTGAGTGATCTCCCAAGAACTTATAACCTTTGTAAGGTTATAACATTTTGGGCCACATAGTGTCGCTCTTATTAACTTTACTTTGACTGTCAACGATCCCTTTTAGAAGACTTTAACCCCCTATTAGTTATGAAAATGTATGTCCACCGTACCCATAATTCTTACCTTTTTTACAAATATGAGTACCTCCTCTTCTTTTCAATCGGCACTAAAAAAACAATTGTTGCCTCGTCTGCTGATGATATCGTAAACAAATAAGGTATAGTATCGAATAAAAGAATCAATTGCATGGTCATGTCTATTGTGCCACTAACTAACTCGCCCACACAACAACTCAGTCTCTAGACCTTCTTAATCTCCATATATACGTCTTGATAATGCCTATAAAATCCAATGAAATGACGACAGTAAACACACGCTGCGACGTTCCGAATATAACCAGCGACACGAAAAGTTACATGTCCTTTCTCTGGTCACTGAAGATTTGCTCGATATTCCTCGTCTCATTCACGAATTTTGACTGGCTACATTTTGACCAATCATGTTACATTTCGAACGCCGATGTGGTCCACATACTAAAAAGAGGACGTCCGGACTCGCTCACAAAGAAGGAAGATCAGCACGTAGCGCAGTCTTCGTTCGTGTTGTGATATCGCGGCTTGTAGCTCTTCCCCAGACTGTCTATTATACTCTTTAGCTCGATTCGTTTCTTCTCTTTCTTGTTGTACTATTTTTATCACGTGAAGCGGTCTATAACGTGCATATATGACTGTCGGAATCGAGACTTCGGACGCTGCAATGACGTCGCCTACGAGCTCGAGCGGCACAGGCCCCGAGTCTCTTCGGTTGTCAGAGATTGAGAGTGCCCATTTATGTCCAGCAGGGCGTATGAAGATGGAAGAACTCTTTCGTCAGTGGCTTAATTTGGACGGTACAAAAGAGATGATTCAGACGATGGTAGCGGACTTGCGACAGGGTAAAGAGCTTAATCTGGAGACGTTATTAGCTACTGTTAATACAGTGGCAAGTGGGGCCGACTCACCTTCGCGTAGTCCGAAGCCTCCACCTAATTACCAGCAGTATGGACTGCTCAGTCCCGGCTCAGTCGGTAGTCCCAGTGCACGGAGACGTCATCAACATCTAGTGAGTCTATTTGGAGATGAACTTCATACTGCTGTTGCTGCAGCAGCTGCTGTAGCAACGGAGATGGAAGGAGGTACCAAGTCTGAGGCAGTAGCTGCTGTGGTGCCATTTACGGCGTCAGACGACGTGGACATGACCACCCGAGACAATGAAACTGTTAGTGATAAGAATGAAGGAGAAAACACTAGTGAAACATTTGCAGAAAATCAACAGGAACTTGTAGAAGCGGTGTCTTCTGCGGATACGGACGAAAACATGGAGGAGGAGGAGCAGAAGCAGCGGGTGGTGGAAGAAGCTCTTACGAACGAGGAGACTGCAGCAAACGAGCTTGACTACCCCATGGATAATGGGGCGTTGAAGCAGGATCAGATACCCAGATTTTACGCACCAGGCGAAGGTCGACGTGGCCGGCTGCGTGGCTTGTCCACGGACGCTATGGCGCGCAAGGCATCAGACATTGAGGCGCGCTTCCGTGAGTTTCCGGAGGGCATGAAGGTTGAAGATTTCGTGGCTATTACGAAGGATCTGTGCGGTTTCCCTTCATTTTTCAACGCACCGTTTTTCCGACGCATCCTTGCAACCTGCGAGGAAGCGGGGGAGGCTATGCTTAAGTCACATTTGATTTCTGCAGAAGAGGATGCATCTAGCCCCACGAGCGCTGATGGCGGGGTGGTACCGCAGCGTATAACAAAGGATATGTTTCATAATTACTGGATGCGCGAGATGGCTCCGTGTGACAGCTTGGAACGCTTTTTTAGAGTAGTACGTGGTCGCACGTAGTTTGGCGTACTGAATAATGTTTCTCGACTGGGAACTGATAGATACCGCTGTGTACTGACAGGTGAAGCAGCCAAAGAATGACTTCATAGAGCGAGACGACTTCGCGCCGTTTTTGCATGGTGCGCCTGACCGCGAGATGGGTTGTCTACGCTATCTGCTTCTTACTGATTGTTTTGTCAACAGAACTGCTAAAGTATCATCCTGGTCTTGAGTTTCTTGGGGGTACGCCCGAATTTCAGGAGAAATACGGCAAGTAAAGTGCTGCGCTTGGAGTCATGCCTGAGGTTAATAGGACTAACGACTTGATGTGTGTGTTTGTGCAGCCTTGACGGTTGTCGTACGGATATTTTACTCGGTAGATAGAGACAGCAGTGGCCGAATCACTCTGCGAAAGCTGCGGCGCAGCAATCTCATCAGTGCATTCAACACTGTAGATGAGGAAGAAGACATCAATAAGGTACGCGCAATGCAGGGTCATCGATGTCGTAAGCATGAATGCTTATAGTTGCGTCGTTTGAAATGCAGGTGAATTCGTATTTCTCATACGAGCACTTTTACGTGCTGTACTGCAAATTTTGGGAGCTAGACACGGATCACGACTTCCTTCTCAGTCCCGACGACCTTGTACGCTATGGCGGCCACGCCCTTACACGTATCATTGTGGACCGTATTTTCGAACGGGGACGGCGCCCGTTTGCTCGTGTCCAGACGCTAACTGCTGAAGAAAAGAAGAAGATGAGCTACGAGGACTTCATATGTGAGTAGCCTGGCAATCTTAGACTGTCGCGCTAAATCAGTGCTAACTATCCTTTTTTCATGGGATAGACTTTATGCTCTCGGAGGAAGATAAAGCAAACCCTGTCAGTATTAGGTATTGGTTCGAGCTTATCGACACGACCGAGGACGGTGTGCTGCGTGCCGATGAGATGCGCGTATTTTATCGACACCAGATACATCGCATGGAGTGTCTTGGCCATGAAGTGGTACCGTTTGAGGACATTCTGTGTCAGATGTCGGACTTGTTGCATCCGGAAAAGGAGGGCGAATTTTATCACAAGGACTTTATTCGTCCCGATAAGATTCGCGTCTCGGGTGTGTTCTTTAATGTGCTGTTCAACCTTAGCAAGTTCATCGACTTTGAGCAACGTGACCCGTTCCTACTGCGTCAACAAATTGCCGAACCCGAGCTTACGTACGTTTGATTTCGTCACGAACGAAGTTCTCTACTGCTGTTAACCGTGGATTGTTGCTGCTGTTTTACAGAGACTGGGATCGCTATGCTCGAGCCGAGTACGCACGGCTGGCTATGGAGGAAGAAAGCCGTGACGAGGATACTGCAATGGACATTGATACCATGGACGGGTGGTATGTGTCCGATGAGCAGGAGGAAGAAGCTCAGGAGGACGGTGGTACTATCGCTGACGGTGCAGCGAGTGGTAACGAAGGCCGAACGGTTGAAGCCCCTTTTTAACGAGTAACTCCATTTTTCATTTCCCATTAGAAGACAACGGACAGTGCAATCAGCCGAGCCGTTGAGACCGAAGAAGATCAAAAGTAAGTCGAACAGGAATCGCAGGCATGATTTTTAATGCATGGATGTGTCAATTGTAGAAGGATCTTCTGCAGAACAAATAGGGCTCACGTGTTGGCTCTCTTTAGTGTTTATCACGACCTGAAGTAGCAGCATCAGTTGCTTGACGAAGGTCATGAATGCGATCGTTGCATTCTTTCAGCTTTTTGACCTGTTCCTGACACTTTCTCCAGTCGCGGTCATAGTCTGCCAGGCACTTCTCAAGCTTGTAGTAATCTTCATGGCAACGATTACGCTCAATAAGCTCTTCCACGTCCAGATCTTCACGAAAATCGCTCTTACTACCAGCATGTAGTCCTGGAATAGGCACGGGCGGCGTGGGCAACTCGTCGCTCATTTTGGTCCAAAGTGCAAATGTGACAAGCAAAAACTACGACTGGGGGATGTGAAGTAACGCAATATATAGAAGTGTCACAAAACTATAATTTTAGCTTGTCAATTTTTGAGTCTACATAGGATAGTAACGATATCAATTGACCCATTTCCTACCTAAATTTCTGTACAAAAAGGACTGGTTCTAAATCGGCTGATAATGGCCAAGTCCGACAAGAAGAAACGTCATCAAAATGGCAAAGTGGGTTCTCTAAAAAACCTTTCATCTTTCTTCACTTTTACTTCATCCTATTGCAATTTTTTCACTCTTGTGCTTTTCAATAGAAATACACGACCAAGAAGAATCGAAACGTCATCGCACAGCAAATTCGTTCCACCAAGTCCCAGACCAACGCCATTTTCTCCCTCACGTCGTCTTTCAATCCAAATCCCAAAACTTTAGGCCCTTTCAGTGACCGGCAACGCATTTTAGTGGTCGGCGATGGTGATTTTTCCTTCTCGTTGTCTCTTGCAGTCTTTTTGGTTAGTAGGTAGTACATGAGACATTAATTGCCATGGCGGATGCTAACTGAGATGTTATTCTTGATGGCTTTTTATCTCTAGGGAGGGAAAAATCTAGTCGCCACTTGCTATGATTCGAAGCTGGAACTGAAGGAAAAATACTCGAGTGCATTGCTTAATTGCGATGCGCTGGAGACAGCAGGGGTATGAACCACAAAAAGAACGATGTGGATGCTGTAACAATTGTCTGACTGATCTTATGAACTTGCTACAAGGCTCAAGTGCACTTTGATGTAAATGCGACGTGTCTGGACAAGGAAAAGTGGCTCCATGTCGCTCAACGATTCGACGCAATTGTCTTTAATTTTCCGCATCTTGGTGGCTCGACGGAGGCAGATGTGGCGAATAACCAAAAATTGCTCAGGGGATTCTTCAACTCGACTCGGCAGTATCTGCACCCGACCCGTGGACAAGTGCTTGTGTCGCTGCGTAATACGCTATTCTATAACCGCTGGAAAATTCAAGAGCAGGCTGCGGTAAATGGCTTCCAGCTGAAACGGTACGTGCATGGTCGATCTCCTATTTGTGAGTAACTAGTTGTTGCTCATTTGACAGTCTGCTTTGATGCTGATAGGACGGAGGTGTTTGACGCGAGTATTTACGCAGGCTACGAGCCACAGCGTACCCACCCGGCATCATTCAGGGGCGAGCCACCATCTACAAATGGAGCTCACTACTTTATCTTTAGTTTGGACAAGAGCATTATAGAGATGGATTCAGGTCAAAAGTCCTTTCAACCGTCAGAAAATGTCGAGCAGGCTCGCGGGAGTGCTACGAAACAGGTTAGACCATTGTTTATGACACAATGCTCTAACATTTAGAATTGCTAACTGAAATTGAAACAGGGAGTGCTGGAAACGAAAATGGCTGCAATGTCCACAAAAATGACTTGTCAACCCTGTGGTCTCACATTTCGAGATGTAAAGAAATACAATGGACATATAAATTCGGCCAAGCATGCGAAGAAGGTCAAGGCACTGAAAAAGAAGCACTAAACAAGTCTCTTTTCGTAGGCAGAAATATAAATCATAATGTTGCATCCTATTGCAATATTTCCAATAATACTGTATCAAATCGTAAAGGTAGAATTCTACCTTTCACCCACAACAAATTAAAACTCTATAATTACATATCTAGCCTCGATTTATCTTACGCCAGGATGTTTTCCATGACCCCCTCCTCCTCTACTTTGCTTCCAATCATGAGTCCATTTCGACGTTTTTCTTCTCGTTCAGCCCGTTTCTTGTCACCTCTTTTGTCTACGGAAGAGGTTCAAACACTTTTACAAACTTCAAAAGACCGATATGTTCGTTTTCTGGATGCATCGTGGTATTTGGATAAAAGTCGAGATGCCAAGAAGGAATTTGCATTGGAACGATTACCAGGTGCCCAATTCTTTGATATTGAACAAATATCAGACGTCAAATCGACTCTACCGCATATGTTGCCCCATTGTACGTAATATAATATGGACGTAGAGAGCACGGGAGAGCCAGTGTGGACTAAAACGTGCTATAGCAGAGACATTTGAGCACGCTTTAATGTATTTGGGGGTAGAACAAGACGATCTTGTGGTGATCTATGGTGGTCAAAATTGTTTTAGGTATTTTAGAGAAAGAAGTTGTGAAGAGGTAGAGAAGAGTGATTTGATTTGGACTTACTATACAAAAATGTGATACAGTCCAGCACGTTGCTGGTGGACGTTCAAGTACTTTGGACATGACAGTGTTCATATTCTCAATGGTAAGTTGACGACGACGACAATAAAACTATTGCAACAAATAGATGGAGAAATTGTTAATGATGTTTAATACGCTTCGTTTGTTTGTGTCTAGGTGGTATCACCAAGTGGAAGAAGGAAGAACGTCCAGTTGAAACGGGCGAGCCGCAAAAGGTGGTAGCAGGTGCTTCGTATAAAGCAAAGCCCAATGAAGCTCTCGTTGTGTCGTGGGAGGACGTGCTAGCCAAGATTGGATCGGACACGCAGATCGTGGATGCTCGTGGAGCTTCGCGTTTTTACGCCAAGGAGCCTGTACGTCGATCGAACAATAGCTCGGTTCGAAGATATTCTTCTTCAACTTGTCTGCTTTTTTCCAACACAGGAGCCGCGTCCAGGCATGCGTGGTGGCCATATTCCAGGATCTATCAACGTGCCATTTGGCAAAATTGTCGATCCCAAGGACTTTTCGGTGAGTTCTATGGACTGAAAAGAATGCGAAAAGCGTATTACGTTTGTGAAGAAATACTACCTTTACGTCCTGTTGTGCATAGCTTTTCCGAGACGTAGCTGAAATCAAGAGCGCCTTCGATGAAGCGAGTACGTGCATCACTTTTAGTGCTGCGAAAGTGATCTTGAGATAACATTGCTGCCACGTGTTGCTGATTTTGTAGACGTGAAGATAGACGAGACGAGCCCAATCATCACTAGGTACATTGGAGTGCTCATATCTTTAGATTTCAAGGCGATTGTGTGCTTGATTTTCATCGTGATGTGCGCTGGTGTTACAATTTTGCATCTATAGCTGCGGATCTGGAGTAACTGCTAGCATTCTCACGTTCGGTCTGCACTTGGCTGGCAAGCCACTGGAGAAGTGAGATGCAAAACACACGATCGTTGCTATCGTAGTTTTTACGGTTCTGACAACAGTCGTGTATTTTTATTTTTACTGTTTGTTACAGGGCTCCAGTGTACGATGGATCATGGTCGGAATGGGGTCTGCGTAGTGACCTCCCTATCGAAACTGAAGCCAAGTGAGTACGCTTGCTAATAGCACAATCATAGAAAATTGTGCCAATCGATTGAACAGCTTGCAAACTCTTGAGTTACTACATGTACCCATTTCGCATATTAAATTTTACGTAAGTAATATACATGTGAAAGTAAAAAAAAAGAAACGGGTTGTAGCCAAAAGTTTGCAGCAAAGTCAGATTTAAGAGAGATGTGGGACTTTATAAGAGCAGCACTTCAGAATTTAGAGACATATGAGGCAGTACTGGAGACATCAGAGGTTTGTATATAAACTTTAGTATATAAACTTAAAATTACGCTTAATTTTATCATCACCTGAACAATTATTACGTCCATTTAGTTGCCATGTTTGCTACTGACAACGCTAGAGGAACTATTAGAAGCCCCTGAGACTAATGCCACACAACTGCAAGAAGTAGCCGACATTTGTGCGTGAATTTACATTGCTAGATCGTGTTTTTAGTGCAGAGAAAATGACGTTATGAATCATTGGATTTCAGTATTGCAGATGATTGAATTCCCTACTGATCGAAAACTCCCGCAAAAGACTATAACGACGCTACATTCAACTCGAGAGTGGGCAATTCAGACGCTATTAAACGTCCAAGTGGCTCAAGCAGATGGTAAAAAGGAGGGCCTATTGCAAGAGTTAATGACATCCAAGTCTTTGCAACAGATGCAGTCGAAACTATTTGTGTCGGCGCCGTGCAGAGACGCAGATGTGGAGATGGAGTTACATCAATTGCTATTGGTTGCAGTGGAGCATGAAGACGAGAGTGCGACTCTCTCAGAGATTTTGGAAATCTGCGCTGCCAAATTGCCAAATGATACGCAGTTTCTTCAGTTCGCAGAGACTGCATTGTCTGGAAAGTCCGAGACGTTGACACTCGGAAGTGTCTTCCTTCAACGATTATTTGATCGACAAACCAGACAGTCCCACGCAAATGGTCAAATGATTGAGGACAAGGTGCGACATGGACAGCGTCTTTTTGACGAGCTGACTCTTGGAAGCAGAATCGCAGTGTGGGCAAACCACCTCCCGAGCTGGCGATCGCAGTTGCAGACTTGGATGCTAGCATCTCATCGAGCGCCGTTCGAACCGATCAGCTCTGTGTTACCTGATGACTGGTGGCCTAAGGATGGCTGGAGAGCAGGTACAAATTCTGTGGTAGCGGCTTGTTATCGCTATTCGCACTTGTACGTTACGTTTATCGAGTGGTGTCGGTGTCATGTGGATCTACTCTCATCGTGTCGTAGCATGGAGTTGGTGAATGTGTTGTCCCGAAGCATACGACAAGAGAACGCTGCCTGCCTTTTCAATCGTCAATTGTTGAGCCACGTACCGATGGTAGACTACGCACAAGGAAGCTGGCCATGTGACCAGCGCGAGCGAACATTCCTTACACTAGGCACCAGTCTTGAGCGTCTTCAAAAGACACGCAGTGCTTCTGATGTTGTGTGGCAGTACGAGTGGATCGGAGTGTTAGAACGGTCTCACTTGCTGCATGAAGCGCTGGAGCTCACGTTTCATGGTGACACCGACAGGGACATGGATGACAAGATCAACAAAGGCCAATCTGCTGCTCGGAGTTCTGTACAATTTTTCAGCTGGTTTTACTCGTTTCTATACTCCGAGTCTGCTGATAAGATAGCCTCGCTACTAATGACGACTTCGTCGGAGCTCAAGGAGTTAGATATTCGTAGTGGAGCGCGGTGGCTGAGACGAAGTCGCGCCGATTTTAGCATTCTTCCCATTGTGCGTCTTCGGCTCGTTTGGTTTTGGCTACTGAAAAGCATTGATGCCGAGTTGCAGATGCCTGTATCTGCGATTGGAGAAGGCGCTATAAGCGTAGCCACAACTGATGTTCTCGAGTCCGTCGAGTACATTTTTCGGCGTTTCACGCCACCGAGGATCAAGCGGTAAGCATTATTGTCACTGCATGTATACTTCAGTAGCTCATTACTGCCTTTGTATGCTAATAGGCCTTTTCAAGTGGAGTTCGTGACGCAACTACTAGTCGAGCTTGAGTGGCGCGCAACGAAAACGAAGACAAAGGACAAGTTTTTGAACGCGATCGAACCTGTTTGGGCTTGGCTGACGAAAATCGTGCGCTTGATGCAGCTTGAGGAGCAAACTGCGCACCAAAAAGACAGCAGAAGTAACTATGGCAGCCGCAGAAACGCTGCAAACGATGTGGAGCACTTGGCGAGGCGTATGGAGCAGCTCGCTCCTTGATGAATGCTCTTGATTGCCATTTTTCTCTCATTTTATCAAAACGCTAACGGTGTGAAGAAAAGCGCTTCAAGTGGCTTTCTGACTTGCATAAGTACTGCTTTCATCTGTTGTGGTGACGTTTATTGCTCCAAGACACCGTCCGACTTTTGGATTTTGAGCGAAAAGTCCAGGCACGGGTAGCCTTGCGTGAGCTTCCCCTGACTCACGATATCCACATCGGGTGAGATGTACTGACTGAGCGTCGCAGGCGTGATACCTCCGCTGGCTTCAACCAGCACGTGTGCGAACTCTTTCTTGAGCTGAGCAGCTGTGATCTTGAGTTGCTCAGGCTCAAAGTTGTCCAGCATGACAATATCTGCTCCAGCTATAGCGGCCTCTTGTGCTTCCTCGATACGACGGCACTCGACTTCAATCTTCATCGAGAAGCCGGCAGCCAGTTTGGCTTTGTGTACGGCCTTGGTAATGCTGCCAGCAGCCCACACATGATTGTCCTTCAGCATGACCATCTGCGACAAGTCGTGGCGATGCGTTGAAGCACCAGCAACCAGCAGTGCGTACTTTTCTACAAGTCGAAAGCCCGGTGTCGTCTTGCGAGTGCCGGCTACGTGGCCCATCCAGCCTAGAGCTCGTGCCTGCTCTACAGAGCGTCGAGCCTGCGTAGCCACGCCACTGGCACGTGTCAAGATATTAAGAGCCGTGCGTTCACCCAGCAGCAGCTGACGGCATTTGCCCGTGACTTTGGCGACAGGCACTTTACCTCCAGGGACGTTGCTAAGCTGGATCTCGTCACCCTCTTCGAGCAACCACTCAACGTGACAACCAAGTGACCGAAAGACTTCAGTAAAGAAAGGAACACCAGCTAAGACACCGTTGGATTTGCCTAGCAGCAATGCTGTCTCTTGGTCTTCTGTATATATGTGGCAATAGAGTCATTGAGAGTAAGAGAGAGAAGCGTGAGAGAATTCAATCAGAACAACAGAAGACGCACCGCCAACTACAAAGCCACCAACGTCAAAGGATGGAATGTCATCTTCTAGCCAGAATTGAACGTGTTTCGTCCAAGATGGAGGTAAAAGGTGTGCAAAAGTGTTCGTCGACTTGGCCATGAGATTCACTTGATGACAAGAAGGATAATTGGAAAATGAATCGAGCTTTTGACTGGTGAAAAGTACCGTTGGCGATGCAAAGATGTAACATACAAAAGTCAACATATCGATACGTAATTGACAGCGGTTGAAGTTGCCACGGCTATGTCCCATAGTTGCGATACGATTTACGGATGCTATGCTGGCCAAGTATGATGTGTCACACCTTAAGTAAAAGTACGCCACACTTTTTTGCGATCCTTCGTGTTGAAGAGTGAACTATACTTAAATCAAGTATACGAAAACGTTTACAAACCAAAACTCGCACCAGTCACCCACATTGTAACCACCGAGAAGATCAAGACCGCAAGAGTTGTTTTTTGAGGCAAGCAGGCAGTTTGCCTGCTTCTCTTTCCAGTACAAAGATCTTTCTTCGACTACTACCTCTTGTTTTCATCCCTCCAGAGCTTCTTTTCTTCTGATCTTTTGCCATGGCACAGGACGATATTGTAAACAACGACCATCACTCTCCGGGTACTTCCTACTACCCCAGTAACTTACACCTAACCTCAAGCCACTATTCCCGTTCCACAGAGGACACAGACGAGCCACCTGTAGCTCCATCTTTCTTAAGTAACAACAATGAGCTCTGGTTATTTGATGACGCGTTGACGCAATCAATGCGTGCCTTAACATTTACTACAGACGAAGACAAAAGTCTCACGTCGACCCCATTGACCATCACTCGTGCTTTTTTCCATACAAAAAGACCTCGAAGTTATTCCGATTATTCCACGACATTACATAACGCCCCACGATGGCGAGCTCATGGTGAATTAAGTGAATATGGAGCACTCTGGGACGTTCTTCGGACGGATTTTATCTCACGTCATGTCGTCGTACGTTGTGGTGCTGGTACGTGGGACGCCCTGGACGTCTGTCGTGTTGTAGATCGACTTAATGTACGTCATTATAGGCTCAGATTACTGCCTATATGAGGTTCTTACTGACTGTTTATTCTTGCCTACTCTTGCGTGTTACTTCAGAACTTTGGAAGTGTTGCAAGTACACGTCGCGAGTTGACGGCCGGTGGACTTCTCTTTTGTACTTTTTTTAATCTCACAAGTGCCGTCGCTGCATTTGATCGCTGGCGTGCTGATGCTGATATTCTTAGCTTCTGTCTACCTTATGAGCTCCCGGATGACGTCAATTCAGCGACTTTGCTCGTGTGTTTTACGCCCAATGACAGATCACCTGTTGTGGTTTCTGAACTACGTCAAGTTTGTGCCTGTTTTGGCCAAGTGGCAAGTATCTTGCAGCCTGATATGCAAATTCCCAAGTATATTGTCGAGTATTGCGACTCGCGTGTGCTGCCTGCAGCTTTAACTGGACTACCTCGTGTTCTCCAGACAAGTGGACCATTGTCTGTAACTCGCACGACATCACCGATGATGGACGTCGCCAAGCTTAAACTCTTTCAAGAGTGCCTAAATCGGGCGGCAATTACACATCCACGAGTTGCTAGGGCTCGCCCCAAGAGTTTTTCGTCTAGTAGCACGTCGCTTCTGACGTCACCTACGTCGTCAGTCGCATCGTCTCTCAATGCATCCCTCCTGGAAGGCGCAAACAACAACAGTCCCATGGCATCGGGCAAGTTCCTTGGTCGTAGCGGAGAGCTCAAATCCCCCGTGCTTATGCCTCAGGACGAACAGCACATTTGGGCAAGACCAGCACCGCGGGCTAGAAGCAACTCGTCGTCTGCGTATCTTGGTGGATCCCTGTCATCTGGTCGCTTTGGTGACTCATCGGCGTATCCCAACGGATTTACGCTCCCGTCGTCTACTTATATCAGCACGTTGTCCACTCGCGCAAATGGTTATTCGTCGTTTCAGGCTGCTCATCAGTTGCAGCCTTCAAACAATCAAATATCGTTTTCCACCACAAGGCAGCAAGAGGGTCAACAGCAGCAAGCTTACTACGATATTCGAGAGCGACAGCGTGCGCAGACCCAAGTTGCCCCCATGAGAAGCAGTCGTGGCAACGTTGACCCTTTCTTTCGAACAAGTGTAGCACACAATGGCGAGCATGCTGCCGTTCCTGGTGGTCGGACTGCAGCGCGGCCATTACCTGGGCGTAACGATAAAGGTATAGGCGAATTCAGCTTGTCGATTGATAAGGTGGCGTCGGGTGAGGATAAGCGGACAACTTTGATGATCCGCAACATTCCTAACAAGTACACACAGCAGATGCTACTCACAGAGATCAATCGTAACCATCGCGGCAACTACGACTTTTTCTATCTACCTATTGATTTCAAGAACAAGTGCAACATGGGCTACGCTTTCATTAATTTCATTGAGGCGGCGCGTATCGAAGCGTTCCATGAGGAGTTCAACGGCCAGAAGTGGACAAATTTCAACAGCGAGAAAGTCTGTGCTATCTCATATGCGCGGTTGCAAGGCAAGCAGGCGATGGTCGCACGATTTCAGAATTCGAGTTTGCTCGAAAAACACGAATCTTACCGACCGCTGGTCTTCGGTAGCTCTGGTCCGAGTCGCGGCAAACCGGAGCTGTTTCCGGCCTCCAAGCAGATTGTTCACAAAAAGCAATCAGCGCACGTACACTCTCCCGAAATGTTTAAAGCTGATGATTATGGCAACTACGTACCCCATCGAATGTATTCACAGCATCCACCACACCAGCAACACATGCCGCAGCAGCATTCCCTTGCCGTTTATCCTCCTCAGCAGCTTGTGGGCATGTCTTCGCATGCCATGCCTCCTCTTCCAACAGCCAATGGGCACCATTTCGGGATTCAATCGCAGTCGCCGCAGTATATCCCTTCGTATCAATACCAGGGTGGCCCCCAATTGGCGTCACCATTTTTGTATGGAGGGACTGGAATGCCATCCAACGTGCTGGACTACCCGCATTGATGGACGGCAATGTCAGTCAGAACAGAGCGTCCGGTCCTTCCATTTTGCCTGCCTGCCTGCCTGCCTTCGTATTATTTTTTGAAAGCTTTTGTACATTGTTCACCTGTTGGTTTGCTAGGTTGTTGATACCTGAATTCCCATGTACATTCACTAGTTGGCTTTAACAGAATAACTCGCTCGCAAATACAATAACTAGCATCGTAAACAACATCATGCATGGTATACATACAATCCCAACATTCCATCGACGTAGCTGTATCACGATGCAAAGAGAAATCGAAGGTCTTCTTCCGTAAGGCGACATATCGCGCTTACATTTGCACCAACGGTCCCTTCAAAGATCAGGCGCTTCTTTTCTTGAAGTTTTAAAATGCGTTCCTCCACGGTGCCAGCAATGATAAAGCGAGTGGCTTGAATCGGTTTGAATTGGCCCAACCGATGCGTACGATCAATGGCCTGATTTTCAGCTGCAGGATTCCACCACGGATCCATCAAGAAAATGCTGTAACAAGGCAAAAAAACTGAAGGTTAGAACAATCACAAGTGGTGCCATCAAGGACGACATCAATAACGTACTGTGACGCGACAGTCAAGTTGAGTGCAACACCACCAGCCTTGAGACTAATCAAAAATGCCGTCACTGTTGGGTCGTCACGAAAGGCTGTAATGGTTCGATCTCGTACGCTCATACTCATGGTGCCGGATAGTTTCACACACTTGACCCCACCGAGCTGCAGTCGATGGTGGATAATATCAAGCATATTCACAAACTGAGAAAAGATAATGGCCTTTCCGGACGGATCACGGATACGCATGAGCTCCAACTCCTGCATTAGCGCTTCGATCTTTGTGCTAGACTGGAAAGAATGAATGTCGGACATTCGGTGGAGAATACTGTTTCGATGAAAGCTCGATAGGTTCACAGTTTTTGGTGATCGGCTACTTGGGCGAGTCGTAATCTCTTGGCATGCTTCAATAATCTCCGTCTCAGCTACCAACGAAAGGTCGACAGTTAGCGGCTTTGAACATGTTGGACAAGTCGCTTCTCCGCCACATGGAAGCGACTCAATATACTCCTTCACACACTCCCGGCAGAACTCGTGCCCACATTTTGCAATGACGCCATCTTCCACGTCCTCGTGACAAATTGCACACAACCTCTCGTCGTCCTCGGAGCTGCAGCTTTCACTAGTACCAAAAGGCTGCTCTTCCATTAATGGTGCAGCGGAGCTTGGGAGTTGAAGAGCTGGGTTCGACTTGGAGTAAATGACGAGATAGGGGTGGTCAACCGCCTGACGAAGACGTATAAGCAGGTCAAAGATGTGGGCATAGTTGTTCAGCAACGTTCCTGCCGACACATAGGTGTTGAACTGCGCTTGACTCTGTGTGTAAATTGCCTCATAAAAGTCTTTCTCACGGTCGTCCAAGCGATCCTTTCGAATACGCACGAGCTTAGGCGGAAGCGAAATATCGTCTGCACGACCTTCTTTCGTCCGTCGTAGTAGAATCTACAGTGACCAAGTGACGATGCACGTTAGATGATAAAGCAAGCTTCCCTCTCAGGTCAAACAAAAAGCATACTTACGTGTTGTAAAACATCATTTTGCAGTCTTTGCAGTGCAAGTTTGCCCTCAGCAACGTAGCCGTACGCCTGAATCGGGATAACGACTTTTTTGTTAAAGTACGAGTAGTGCTGAATGGCGCTGTGTGGACATTGCACACATTTTCTATCCGGGAAGCTACATAAAGACAAGATAACAACCTCGTCAGATACGACGACAACATGTTTAACAAATAAAATGAGAGAGACGTACTTGTAGTCCAGCATCTGGCATTCACACATATTGCAGTGATAGTATGCGTATTTCTTTACACGAAGAAACCGAACGAGAGAGAACAACTCGCCAATGCGATTTTGTAAAGGCGTACCTGAGAAAAAAAGCACAATAACAAGTCATCATTGTTTTGCACTTGGTGAATCAAACCCTGCAGCGTCTGCTTACCTGATAAGCACCACTTATAACTGGACTTCAGTGCGAACACACCTCGTGCAGTATTGCAATTGCGATCTTTAATGTAATGGGCCTCGTCGAGAACAATTCGTGTCCATTCAATGTGATGAAGAGGTGACTTGCCTTTTGTCTTCTGAGGCGTGCTTTTCTTGTCCTCCTCCTTCTTCTTTGGACGCTGATTCACTCGACTTTTCGGCTTTCGAATTGACTTTTTCAAATTGTCGTCGTCATCTTCTTCGTCACTGGTTTCACCAGCAGCTTTCTTCTTAGTTTTTTTCTTCTGCTGCTTATTTTGTAGAGTAGTCTTCTTTGCATCTGGTCCACAGAAATACTTGTTGTGTGACACCAATTTGTCCGGCAAATACTTTTTCCCACAATACTTGCACGCAACCTTCGACCAACCAATTGTTTTACGGATCTCATTCTCGATGATAGAGTAAGTCGTCAGCACAATATCGTACGAAGCAATTTTCTCCACCACATTTAAACGCTTGGGACCGTGATGAATGTACACAGAGAAATGACCGGGTTCCACAAATCTTTCGATCTCGCTCTTCCACTGCATGACAGCAACAAGAGGGCAGACAACAAGCGTGCCACCACGTACGATCGCCGGTTTCCGAACGTTAGCAGCTTTGCCTTTTGACGACGAATCTTCCTCTCGCGGATTTTCAAGTATGAGTGATATTGCCTGAATCGTCTTCCCCATCCCCATTTCATCTGCAAGAATGCCGCCTTTGTAATCACTACTCTCCTGCCCAACCATCCAAGCCAGTGCTTCTTGCTGATACGGAAGAAGGGTAGCAGTCAAGAATTTTGACGGTTGTTTCTCTGGCATCCGACCTTTCTTGTTGAAGTGGTCGTCTGCGAGTGGGACGCGTTCATCAATCACACCGTTGAGATCATTTTGCTCCATGTACTCACGCACACGTTTCTGGTCGGCAGATTGAAGTGTTGACAGACCATCAATTGGATCGTCATTCTTTTTCTTCTTCTTTGCAAATTTCTTGTCGGCATCATCGGTCTCCGGCTCCTCTTCCACTTGCTTAGTAGCCATTCCCGCTATCAGACCAATCGCGGTACATTCTAGATGCTAATCAAAAGACAATACAAACATGCTGATGAATAGGCAGCCAACGCGGTCACGTAAAATCTTTATACGTACTTTGTAGTATGTGGTGCGACCGAAAATCGAGTGGCGTATGTGTATGCCAACTCGAATCTTCTCAACAAGAAGCTTTTGCTCGCAACTTTTGCACTGTATTGGTATCACAATCGCACAACGTCAGAGCAAAGTTGGTCTTCGAGAGAAAAGCACAAATGCACTCTTACCTTTGCTCTTGAATTGGCCGCGTACTCAATAAAGTAGTGGGGACCGTCATAAACATCTTCATCCTCCGAACTTGCGCTCTCACCAATTACCTCAATATCCAACGAGTCAGCGTCACTAACATGAGCATTGTTGCTTGCATTAATGTGAGGAGAAATAGCCGTCGGTTGTTTCGCTCGGCGAGTCACTTCGCTCTTTTGCTTCACAGAAGATTTCTTCATCACTAAACGTTTTCTAGGCAGCAGCTTTTGTTTTTCAACATTGACCCTATCACCTTCGTCGTCCTCTTCTTCCTCGGACGTGCTCTCACCAACAAAATCACTGTCACCATCACTATCGTCTTCGTCCTCGTCGTCACTAAATTGAACCACTGGCTTCCGATACGAAGCACGACGAGTTGTTCGACCATTCACTGATAGCTTGATCTTTTTCTTCATTTCAGTCTTTCCATTCTGATGCTTCAAAGGCCTCAAAATAACAGTTTCATCCTTCTCCTCCTGCTGCTCCGACTTTGTTGCCACTCGACGTCTCTTGGACATCACCTGTACTTGTTTCTCCTCTACAATCTCTCTCCTCTTTCTCTCTTTATTACCCAAAGTATTATCACCCTCTTCTACTTCTTCTTCATTGCAGTCAATGCACTTCCAAACGTCTGCCAATTGTGGCCGACGACGTAGTGGAGGCGTAAGACAACCCAAGTGAAAACGTTTTAAACAGATTGCACAGCTCATCGTCACGCGTTGCGACTGTTGTTGGCAGACGACACAAACACCAACATCTTCTTCATCTGTTAATTCCATAGACTCTTGAAATTTTGAACGTAACGTCACCATTTTGTCGTCTACGGCCTGTACGTCAAATTGCCGACTGCAACGATTATGACCAGCGATTGAGCAGAATGAATGTATTAGAACAAAAAAAGGCCGATTTTTTGGCGGGGACGATGACCGAGTGTTGTCACGTGGCGCCAAGCCCTTTGATTGGGTATTATTAGATTTCGCTCAAATTAAGTGATAATAGACCAGAATGACTAGCTCTCGAGGTGATTCTTGTGTGTGTGTGTGTGTAAATTCATGAGATGGTCATTGAGGTTATGTCAGCAAACGAGCCTGGAGGCAGCACCAACTTCTTCCGTGAACACAATGCGCTCTCAGTGTTAATCTTCTCCAGCAATAGACGAAACTCCTCTACCTCACGGTCAATTTCGTCCTCTTCGGGGTCACGCTCCTCCGTCTCCGAGTCACCACTCCCATCTGTTGACGCCAATACGGATTGCTGCTTTGTTGCTACTGCTGATGTTCTGCGGGTAGGCCGCGCAGATGTCCGCGTCTGGGTGCTAGTATCTCGCAGACTCACTTTCTCTGTCGCACGCTGTGCTGCAGCCTCTTTCTTGCGGCGCTTCTTTTCCTTCTTGTTTTTCTTCTTCCGACTGCTACTAGAAGGTTTCTGACTTGCTTTGAGGTCTGCAAGCTCATCTTGAAGCAGTTCAGCCTGCACCGCGAGCGAATGCTGTAATGCCTCTTGGTATGCGTCCTCCAGCTGTCGTTCAGCACAGTTAGCACATCATGGTTAGCTCCGTCAGTTGGTAGCTGAGCAAGAAGGCGACATACCTGTTCTCGAAACTTAATAGCTAGCACTTCCAGTAGATATTCCTGTGCCAGATGTGAAGTGTTTGCACCGGGGCATGTATCATCAACGTCGTCATCCTCTTCACTATTTTCGCTCTCATCGTCATCAAAACCAGACTGAAACGGAGACACATAGCTGAATTGTTCGCCACAGCGAATTAGATCCATGATGAATTCCGTGTGATCTTCTCGAATAATGATATAGCGTTCCTCTTTCTGAGTAAGTCGTAGCAGCTCGTCTTCTTGTCGCTCGCCGACGTCTAGTGCTGCCAGATATTCGTCCGACAACATGCCCTCATTGCTGCCGCCTCCTCGTCTACCTTCCTGCTCCAGCTCATATTTAAACACCAATTCCTCCTCTTCTAACACCATATCCTCCGTCGAGAGCATATCTTCATCAGACTCATCTTCTAACTCATCTGGCTCTTCATCTTCCTCTTCATCCTCTTCTTCGTCTTCGTCATCGTCTTCGTCATCATCTTCATCGTCCAAAAAGGGAGGGAAGACACTAAAAACATCTTGCAGAAAACGACTGCCAGAACGTTTTCGTTCATGATCCTCCCACTCTGCAATTACATTGTCATGACACTCACAACACAAGTTTTGCCCCACAAGGAATTGGTCCAATGCTGTCAAATAGGTCTCCCGTCGGATCCGCAAAAGCCGTCGCTTCGTCACAAGCGCCAGCTCCCTCCAAAAATTAATAAGTTCTTCTCGTGTATATCCCTTGGGACCATTAAGTCCTATCATGCTATTATTGCTGCTAGTAGAACCCGTCGAGGTAGCAGTGGTCGTACTGGTAAATGTTGTTGCTGCTGCTACTGCTACTGATGATCCTCCACTTCCTGCACGCTCTGTTCGAGGTACAAAACGACTGCTAATTTCCCGTGCAAAGTAACTTTCCGTTGGCCATGGATTCCTATACAGAGAGATGATACTTCAGTGTCGATGGAAGACTTGATCGTTATTGACAGGGATAATGTTCTCGTACCGGTATTTTCGCGCTAGCATAAATCCTGATGAACGTCGTAATAGACGGTGTCGATGGAGTAACATATCTGTCTTTCCTTGAGGTACTTTAGCGTCACGATGAACGTGCGTTGTTGAGGACTTGGGTCGACGCGCCATGAGGGTATTGAGTAATGAATTACTTAACTATTTACTTTTTATTTATTATAGAGGGGTGTGGTGTACACAACTCCACCTAATAAGTCGATTAAAAAGTAGCATAAAACGTTCACTAAAATATGTCATCACTAGCAGCAACTCAAGCTGATGGGTATTATTATCCGACCGACTGGCGACCCGAGCATGGGTCACTCAATCACTTTCACCAGTCACATCCATTGGGGAAACGTGCAAAAGATCTTGCAAGTGATGGTGTCTTGATAGTACGCTTTGAAATGCCATTTCATGTCTGGTGTACACACTGTGAGGAACATATTGGACGAGGTGTGCGGTTTAATGCACGGAAGAAGAAAGTCGGTCAGTATTTCTCTTCTACTGTGTGGGAATTTCGTATTAGCTGCGCCAATTGCAGTGGTGAGCTAGTGATCAGGACAGATCCAAAAGAGCGCAGCTATGAGCTCGTGAGTGGCCTCCTGAAGAAAGCGGATGCAGAAAACGTCGAAGAGCTACAGACAGAGCGTCTGAATGAACCAGGACTGGCTGTGAAGCTCCAGAACGACCCATTCTTTAGGCTTGAACATGAAAAGGAAGACCAGAGAACAGCCAAGAAGCGCTCGCGAGGGCTTGAGGCGCTCATGCAGCTCCAGGATGCCGAGTTTAAGGACGACTTTGCTAGCAACTCGGCGCTTCGAGCACAATTTCGAAGCAAAAAGAAACATCTTGAGAGCAACCAACAAGAGGCAAAGCGGCTGGGGATTGGTATTCCACTACTTGATGTGCATCCAGACGATGTGTTGACGTCTAGAACAGTCGTGTTTAAGGGCATTTCCCAGAAGCGCCGCCCTTCAAGTCATCGACGGTCAGGAAAACTGCATTGTCAAACACCTGCTCTAGCTGCGAGTGTGGACTCGTTTCAACATTTTGGTGACCCTACAGGGTCTCAGTTGCAGCGCCTGAAAGTGATCAAACGAGCTGCCAAGAAGCGGCCACCACCATTGAGAAAATGAGCTCATTTCCATTCTATTTGCGCGTACGTTAGAGTCACCTTTCAACTTGACGCGACAAGTTGTATTCAACGTTTTCTCCATACAAACAACAATCGATTATTGTCTACATGACTCACTCAAGGGCGGCACACAGACGCGGAACGTCGTGACAGAGCACTGCAAGTGACTTGAAAGCCCGGTCTTCGTCTCCTTGCCATACTCTCAGACATTCCTCTGCTGTCACGACCATGTCACTGGAGTAATTCAGATCCTCATTGTAAGCACAGTACGCCAATAGTACGCGCACGATACTTCTCTTCTCCGTGTCACTGGCTTCTACTGCAAGCTCATCCACGTCCTTCGTAATAGCCTCAAAATTATTGTGCTTGCCGCTAACAAGAAACTCTTCGACGTGCATCAACGTGTCAGAGATGCTCGAGACAAGCTGCAACAGTCGTTCACCTTCCTCCGTCTTGTTGTCCTGAATCTCCTCGATCGGATTCTCCTCGGAATCAGCATAAAATGCCCAGTCTTCTTTTAATTCCGGCAGCATCTCGTATTCTTCGTCCAGATCGTCTCTTGTCTCGCCATTCTCGCTCTCTTTAGCCTCATTTTCTTGCCTCTTCTTCGTAACATCTTCCGCCATCATCTTGGCATTGTATTGAAGCTCTCGGATCGTTTTTAGTGGCCGTGACGACGTTTCAAAGACCGCTTGAAACTCGTCAAACACGTCGTCCTCGTCCTTCTGCGACATGACAAGCTCTGGTTTCGTACTTGCAACAAACTTCTTGGCTATAAACACAAGTAATGTAATGAGTGCAGCTCTTGCTCGAGCTGTAGCGGCTACAGTCCAGCAGCTCATGACAGCAGCGCTCAATGTCAATTTAGACGAGAGAGCGTGTAGCAACGCCGCCTGTTGCGCCGCGCATCGTCGCTGTAGAGGCGAGCCACGTAGTTCTTGACCACGTAGTACACTCACTTGTGCCTTGACGATGGCGTACATGGCTTCAGAACGGCCGTGGACGCGACAAACGGACGATACGAGAAAGTTGCCCATACTGGAACTGAGTCAAAATGTCTGTAAGAATGATGGCAAGTTGAAGCGGCCTTTTTCGTGAATGACAGCTTCTTATTGGTTGAAAATGGGGACTTGGCTAAAATGACGTATGTGTTCAATACACAACATTGATAGGGATAGGTTTTGGTTTTTCATCAAAGTTGTACATACTTACTTCTAGTCTAATTCTATGCTGCAAAGTTCACTCAAAGTCTCGACTCTAAATAGGAATATTTGTAAAAAACTATCAAAAAACTAGTCGTATGTTTGCAATTTTTACTATAACGCTATCAATATCATATGAATTCTGAGAATATAGAAATGATTCCGCGGTTGGATACCCCAGACACATAAAAGTTCCTACAATTTCGATGAAAAATCAATTAGACAATGAAACAAAGAAAAGACACATCTAAACAATCATGTAGCAATCTTTTCGTTTCAATGACATACATGCGTCATATTTCCGATGTGTCGACTGTACAGCTTAGTACAGAAAACAGACGGATACTGATCAGTACATTTAATCTACGTCATTCATTCTCATATTTGCCTCGTACACCACACTCACCCCATTTTTAGTCTCAAATTGCTCATTTCCAGTCTGTAATAATGACTGCACAGGAGCTCAATACTGTAGAACACAATGAAGAGGTTGTCACTGCACCCGTGACAAAGACCCAAGACGCTCCTTTTATCTACGAGACTCCTGGCTTCTTTGCCGACGACTCGCGTGTGCCTCAATGGGCACAGAATCTTGCAACGGACCTATTTAGCTTTGTGACCATTCATTACAATGTCTGGGCCGTCCCATTTGTCGTGCTCTTCTACTATTTGTATCAAATCGGCTATAGTTACATACCTATAGTGCTTGTGACGTTGTATCTACCGTCGTTTCTAAGTGGTGCCCAGAAGACAGCCAAGGGAAATGTCTGGCCAACGTTTCGTACTGGACGCATCTGGGGCCTCACTGCTAAGTTTCTTGGGTAAAATCTATTGCTGCTTTTCTTTTTCGACTTCTGGCCAAGTGATTCACTGTGTCTGCCTTTTATTACTATAGAGTAAAGATTATTCGAGAACAAGAGCTGGACAGCAACAAGAAGTACATCTTCGGCTATTACCCGCATGGGATCATGGTTTTGTCACGTGTCTCCACCTATGGCGGCAATTGGGAAAAGATTTTCCCAGGTATTTCGACGCGAGGTACGGTGTTGTAAACTGCTACAGTCGATGAATTGTTGCACGAACTTGATGGCTGCTATTTGCTTGAAACTGATACAGCACTAGGGGCATCGACCATGTTCTACGTCCCTTTAGGCCGTGAACTGTGTCTCTGGCTTGGTGGTGTGGACGCCTCGCGGTCTACAGCTGACAAGGTCTTGAACGACGGCACCAGTATTGTCGTGTATCCTGGTGGCGTGCCCGAAATCTTCAAGACGGATCCCAACTCAAAGGTGAACGAGCTCGTGCTAAAGAATCGTCTGGGCTTTGTCAAGCTCGCCATGCGTCACGGAGCGGAGCTTGTGCCGAGCTTTGTCTTTGGTGAAAAGTGGTTGTACAAGTAAGTAGCTTAGGACTGAGTGGTGTTTTTGCTACGTCGTGCTGATTTGGTGACGTTTCTTGCAGCATGTGGAATCCTCCCCAAGGCGTCATAGATTTCTTCCGCAAGACGCTCAAGATTCCGGTGATCGTCTTTTGGGGGAAGTTCATGTGGATGCCTAAGCAGCCGCCTAAGGGGAAGCGATTCGGCGTAGTGTACGGCAAACCAATTCCCGTCAAGTTGATGGCCAACCCTACGGAGAAGGAGATTCGCGCCGTGCACCAGCAATACGTTGGGGAAATCGAGCGACTCTTTTCACAATACAAGAAGGAGTTTGGTTATGATGACGACGAGACATTACTGATCAGCTAGAGTTGGCAGGTGCTCCACAGGGCAAGACAAGCTAAACATGATCTATTTCTTTTGCGATGCAACTCGTGTAAGGCCAAACACCAACATCGAGTCAAGAATGCTATTTCTCGTTGAATGTTCGCGTTAGATTCGACGAGAATGGCCCCAAGTATGAAAAATGTGTAGTTTGAATCATTCTTGGGGCCTTCCCAGCAAAACTTGTGGCACAAGCTACTAATTTGGAGCTCGGTCACGACTTCCAGTATGTTTGAACGGACCTCGTTTTCTCTTTGCGTGCACATGTAGTCAAGATCTGCAACACCAAATATATGTTCAACGCGAGCAGCGCACACATTATCTCTTCCTTACGAGCAATAAGCGTAAAGTGTGCCTTAATCTCCTCAAAATTGCTTGAACGGGTCGGTCACTAGACAATCAAAAATTGTTACTACGATTTCTAGATGTGACGGCTTGAAAAGTGCCAAGCTCAGCAATATTACTGAAAAGACGATGAACGCGGAGATGGCGATTTGCTTATTGTGAACGTGGAATAAGCAGCGTCGAGTCGAAGATACAAGTCGTCGTAAAAACTGCATAAGCTCATCAAGCGGCAGAGCCACAAGACTCCGGTGGTGATGATTGAAGTCAAGACGAAGGTATTCTGTGCCGAAAGAGTTTGCCAGTGCTCTTACTGCGACAATTGGGGCATGAGACCGCTGGACCAAGGATGAGAATTAAGGTGCTTTTACGGGGCGGCCATGACCGTGGATGCGAAGCCAACAACGTTTAAGACCGGAACGACGACTACTTCTCATTTACGGGGTTTCTCAAATGCAAAATGCTCGACGACAAGTGTATATCCTGCATGAAGGTTGTCGACAGCAGCCCAATGCACGAATCTGCAATAATACGCCAAGTTTGTTACGCCTAATGAACAAGACGAATACGGTTGCTTGGTGGAGTTTAGATCGTGAGGATCGAGCCTATATGTGATGTAGAGAACGATACATGATTTGATAGTATTGCTGTATTGATGATTGAAAAATTATTACGATCGATGCGTTATCGTAACGGGGTCACACGACAGTTGGATATTATTATTCAACACTAGAGAGAGAGGTAGACGAGTCTATATAGCTTTTAGTGATTGCAGGATGTCTGGTAGATCCTAAGCCTGGTTAGCAACGCCGGTTTCTCGCTCGGGATCGGTGGTTGTACGGGGCTTGTCACCTGCGTGACGGCTCTCGGGGTTGTCTGGCTATGGCACGTTGACATAGCATCAAACGGGTTCCTTAAATGTTCGTGTATGTTCGTCGGTACTCTCGCTTCGCGACTGCGCGAAGTTGCCTCATACTGGTCTCCCAAAATACCTGCGCGCTGCCGGCGATGGTCACGTCCGCTTGCTGGAACGTCACGCGGTTGCGCCGTACCCACAAGCTGGATATGCAAATGCTGCTCAGGATGTGCCAGGCGCGTATTCATAAGGTGGTATATGCGACCACCTCGTCTGGTTGGTGTCGCTAGCTGTGCCAGGACCGCCGTGGATATATCTGGCGCGTGTCTGCTTGCACTGTTAGCGATGAAGCCTTGAATCCGTTCAAGCTCCCAGCGTGTAACGGGGTTACTCGACGGTTGTAGCGTCTTTCCGAGAGTTTACGGTTAAACTCCCTGCATATAATGCATTATTATACATTTCTTTAGAGAGGTATTAAGTATGAGCGTTAAGATACGGTATTCAGTAATACCGTATCTTATCGATTGGGATTCGATAAATCACTAACGCTGTATTAAGTGCATCATACACAGATGTTTAGACGATACGTCGTCCAATAGCAAAGTCTGCATATAATAATTACTATTATAGTAATTAATCTAGTGTAGTGTACTTAGAGTAGGACTATTCATAAAATCTTAAAGCATAAATAAAATCAGTTCTCCTTTTGAGTTTAAGATCGCAAGTCGTTCTGACTTGTTCTCTTGTGCACTTCGTGCGTTGGTTCTCTGAACCTTAAGCTTCTAGCTTGTTCTTGCACTCTGTGCGTTGGCTCTCTGAACCTTAATCGCATTGCTTGCTGACTAAAAGTCTCTCCTACTTCCTTAATTCAGGGTGACTTTAAGTCGTTTAATTAGTTCCTTAGAACTAAGTGGCTTTTAGCCTTAACTCTATTTAGTTCTCTAGAACTAAAAGGCTTCCAGCCGAAAGTCTTCCTCTGGATAAATAGCTATGCAGCTCCGCTACACTTGGTAACACTAGTAGTCAATCCTACACCTGAGTCTTTAAAGACTGACCCTCTGTGAGGATGGAGAATCAAAATCACCTCTCTGAGGCACAACGACTCGCCTTAGATAAACTATCGGCGTTCGTCGGGCCCGATCAAATCGAGGCCCTTTTGGCCCAAGGCCCTGAGGTTCTAAATGCTCGCCTTGAGGCCTTTATGCGTTATGAATAAACGCTACTCGGGCAGGTCCATGACCAGGCAGCGTCAGCTGCGCCTACACAGTACATTCCAGTGCCTGTGCCCGATGCAGAGCCAAAGGCTCGCCCACTTATTTTAAATGTAAAGACCTTCGAGGGGAAGGAGGGAGAAAATCTTCTTCTCTGGATCCGAGAAGTTGAAATAGCAATGTATGCCGCCATGCTTGTGTCAGAGAAGCAACGAGTTGGCTTGGCCATTTCGAAGCTCGGTGGAAGAGCTAGAGAGTGGGCTCTAACGAGCGATGTCTCTGTAAATGCTGCATTTCCCACATGGGAAATGCTTAAAAAGCAATTAACTTGTGTGTTTGCACCGCCTAATCAGGCTTATGTGGTGGAGTGGGATTCGCAAAATTGCTGATGCGACTCCAACTCTCCACTGGCGCCCGGACGACCGACTAACGGAGGGGGTACCCCGATTCCGTGTGTATAGCCTTCCTCACCTTGTGTACCCGTCGGTAGGGCGGGTTGCTCTCTTCTCGGTAGACTTGAGTCGATGTTGAACTTGATTGTGTTAGGAATAGGTGGGGGGCGATCGCGTGGAATTCCTCACACGATCGCAGTTGTTCTTGAGGTGCTCTATTTGAGTTGCCCTGATCTCTCTTGAGATCACCTTGTCCAAAAATGTAGATACTTGATCCACTTGATATACTTAATCTTCTGACCACTTGAGCCGTCTCGCGATCTTGTACCTTGTCCTTTTTTTGTTGTGCTGCGTCCAATCGCAGGGGGGGGTTGTTTGTTTTGAGAGTTCTTGTAATCCCTGGCCAAACAATCCAGGGATATCACTTGCGTAGTATGTAGACTTCCTTGAGACGTCGGGAGGTCAAAGAATCCAGCCCGGAAGAGAAGTCGACATGTGTATTTAGAAGCAAATTAAACTCTGTTAATGTTAACCAACCAAATGCCAAAACCTATGATCTTGACTATCTGTAGCTCAGGATCTGTTGCCACGTATCGCCCTTTTGGAGAAATCAGATCTTGTAATGTGGTCCACTCCAATATCGCCGCGATCTGGATCGCTACCTCGCTCGGATCTAATACCGTTTTAGTACCGCGATCTGATACTAATAATTAGTATCGGATCGTGTTACTAAATAATTAGTATCGGATCGCGGTACTAAATAATTAGTATCGGATCGCGATACTTATAATTAATATCGGATCGCGGTACTAATAATTAATATCGGATCGCGATTGTAATAATTAGCATCGGATCATGATCCGCCGGATCACGACTTGTTCTCTTCACCGTTTCTCAGGTCATGTGAGATGGTCCATCTATATGACGTGTCATGTCCACCTCATTCCAGTCCTCCAACGCAACGTAATCCACACCAGACCGTCTTCCACATACTTGGATGTACGCATCCTCCTTCTTAGCGATCGCGTTCACGCGGATCGCCATCGGAAATACTGGAGATCGCGATAGCGTAGCTTCTAGGCCATATTTAACCCACATAGAACTGCAAACTCCACCATTTACTGTTTTCCATCCCATTTGACGTCATCTCGAAACCTTTCTGCGAGATCGCGACTCATCAATATTGGCCGCGAGATCGCGACTCATTAATATTGGCCATTTCGGACTTAATCGAAAATATGCGATCACACTTTGCGAAATTCACTCCTTCACTTCGCCACAACTGTCCCCTGCACCGCTAGCCCACATACAGTGTTGGCCTAGCTGGGCACTGTCTCGTTTCACCCTTCTCGTCCCTTCGTCCCCTATGGCCAGATCTACACCCGAAAACGATCGCCACCTCTAACTGGTGTGCTCGTCACGCGCGATCCAACGATAAATTTTTCTACCGGATCGCTTATTTTGCTCCTGTCTACCCGGATAATCCTTCCTCCCGTTACGGATCGTCAAAACGCGATCTCGTTGGTTTCTTCATTGTATGACCGCCTGGAAGCCCAAGATACCATCGTGGAAAGCTATCACTCCATGGAAAATGCCTTGCAGGAGCAGGAGTTTCGTGGAAATCATCTGGAGACGGAACTCAATTCGTATCACGAGTTGGTGCCTCGACTTTGCACATTCGTCTTGCGTCGAGATGAAGAGTTGCGTCAACAACTTGATGCGGCTCTCCACATGGCCGCAGGTCTCGACGAAGAACTGAACCAGCTAACGGATCAGTCTCAGGAGATCGCCGATCTGAAGAATGCCTTGTTTCGAGCCAATGCAGAGAAACATCGCCTGCAGGATAAATTCCGCCGTGAGGCGGCCAATCTTCAGCGAACTCTGGAAGGAAAATTCCGGCAGCAGATCGCGTCCCTCCAACAGCAACTGGACTCCATCCTCGCACAGCGTAATACGGCAGACTGTGCTTTGGCCGCTGACTTTCGACGCATGAAAAGCAAGGCGTCCAAGTAAACCGTTCTCAGGCCCAGCAAGCCGCGAAACAACTGCAAGAGACGCTGAACGCGCTCGAGCTTGATCATGATCGCCTCCTGAGTACGAGTATTCGGAGCGACGCAGCTTTGGGTCGACTTCGTACCGAAGTTGCAGATCGAGAGGCGGAGCGCGATCTGGCCATCCAGGATC